CGTTCCACAAGCAACGTCAAAAACTGGGTTTGCGTTCGACGAGATCGAAAAATAGAGTTTGGTACCCTGAGCTGTTTCCACGCACAAAACACTTGGAGCAGGCGGTTATTCGGGTGGACGCCACGGCTTCGGACCGAGGCGAAGCGCCTCATAGGGAGACCACGTTTGCGGTGGAAGGACTCGCTAAATTAGTGATGTGTCGTGTGCGTTCCCGCATCAGCACGAAGATGTTTCCATCTTTGTTGGTGTTCTCCATTTCCTCCTCACCCTCCTCCTCCTCCGTAGTCTTGCCTGTGCAGTTTTGCAGATTTCCCGACCAGTTCATGTTCCGAGTCGCGCAGTGCACCGTCTGCCCCTCAAAGGGACCTGTCTGGCAATGGGATTTGGCACTCAAGTTTCGTGTCCGGTTCCGGTTCCTTTTTCATCTCACTTTGCTCCTGCTTGTCATCCGCATACCTCTCATATGGGCAGCGGCGGCGGAAGGAGGATTTGGTGGGAGGAGGATGAAAAAAAGGGGAAGGGGCGAAGCAGGAATTGCCAGGAATGTGCAAAGAGAGATGATGCGGAGAAAGTGGTCGAGGGGTCAGTCTCATATCAAAACGACTACTATTGAATCCGAAGGAGATTCTCCTACGATTCCAGGAACGGAGCAGACATATCCCGGACACTGAGGATTCTTGTGTAATTTGAGTCGGGTCCTGACGATTTCACTGGGGCAGGGTAGTGGTTTCAGATCTAAAGGTTTCTTTTGAATCTGGATGGGGTCCTCAGCCCAATTCAATGAAAGTGGGGCAGATCTTTATCCCAGATACAGAGGATTTCTGTTGCATTTGAGTCGGACCCGAACCGGATGTCAACAGGAACGGGTCATATTTCATATCAAAAAGATCCCCCGTGGATTTGAATCGCATTTAATCGCATCCCATTCGCGAGCGAAACGTAGCCCAGATCAAACCACACCTTATTGCATCCGATCGCGTTTTTGACAGGTTTTCGATACGGGAAGAGCAGGTATGTCCTGGACCCAGAGGATTCCTCATCACTTTGGGTCAGGTTTTCATATCAGTGGAGAGGCTTTCCAGCTGGCGCCGCTGACCCTGAACGACGGCGATGACGACGGCGACGACGATGGCGACAACGACACCAACGGCGGCGGCGACGACGACGACGACGACGACGTCGACGACGACGACGACGAAGACGACGACGACGACGACGACGACGACGAAGACGAAGACGACGACGACGACGACGACGATGACGACCACGACGACGACGACGACCACGACGACCACGACCACGACCACGACCACGACCACGACGACGACGACGCGCTTTCGGGGGCCTCTTGGGGGTATTTTTGGCGCCTCTTGGGGTTCTCGTGTGGGGCGGGGGGGGCTCTTGGGGTTTCATGGGGGTCTCTTGGGGGCTTCTTGGGGCCTCTTGGGAGGCTTTTTGGGTGCCTCTGGGGGCTTCTTGGGGGCCTCCAAATCTACGTTCGGGTCCCCCGTCTGGGTTCCCTCTCGGAGCCTTCTCGGGGGCCTCTTGGGCTGTTTTGGGAGCCTCTTTGGCTGTCTTGTGGCTCTCTTGATTTCTTTTGGGGCCCTCTTGGAGACCTCTTGGGCGATCTTGGGGGCATCTTGGGCTGTCTTGGAGCGTTGGGGTAGCCGAGAAGGCGAGAACGCCAAAGTCGTTCGAAAACGTCAGGAACATCAGTGTTTTTGGCCCCTTGGGGCCCTCTTGGGAGTGCTCTTGGAGGCCTTTTGGGGCGTTTCGAAAACCTTCTGAGCGGTCTGGAGTCTGCTTTGGTGTCTGGGACCGGTCGTTCGGCGATTCGGGGCCCTCGAGGGCCGCCTCGGGGGCCTCTTGGGGCACTCTGGCCGCGTCTTGCGGCTTTCCTAGGCCCTGGAACCGCCCGGGGGGGATGCGTATCTGGGGGGGGGGATACCCTCTTGGGTCCTCTTGAGGCCCCCTTGGGGTCTCCTGGCGGCATCTTGGGTCGGAAGGCTCGAATTGTCGGATCAGGCTCCCCCTTTTGTCCAACCTATTTCACCCTCGATCGCCAGAAAGAATTTCGAGCACCAAGAAAGTACCGAAACTTAAGGGTTTTCATGTCGGGCACTGGGAGGCGATACTCGTTCGACATTGTTTCGATACTTTTCTGAGTGCTCGAAGTTAAGTCTGGGATGTGTCCTTAAGTACGATGGGAACAGCAGAACTCTTGGGCCCCTCTTGGGGCCTGGGCCTTCCAGGGCGCCTCGCGGGCCGTCTCGGGGTCCTCTGGGGCCGTGCCGGTGCCCGCTTGTGGGGGCCTCTTGAAGCGTCATCGGGGCGGTCTTAGGGGCCCCTGGGGTCGTCTTGGACGCCCGCAAAGGCCGAGAAGTTATGATATACTAGACATTCACGTTTTCCTAAGGGTACTTGACGAGTTGGGCCCTCTTTTGGGGGTGCCCTTGGAGGCATCTTTGGACGTCTTGGGTGCTTTTTCGGTCGGATGGAGGCCGTCTTGGGCGTCTTCGCCCGATCGTTCAGCGATAGTAGAGGGCCCAAGAGGGCCTGGGCAAATCGGGGAGACCTGCCCCCACCCCCCCATGTTCCCAGGAAACCCCGACCCCACGCCCCTCAGGGCCCAGGAATTCTGGGTACCCCCACCCCTCCACCCCCCTACCCCCGCAGAGGTACCCCGGCACCCGCCCCCTCGAGTGAAGCAAGAGTTTCACCTTTCATCGCTAGGATTCCTTCAAACTCTTTGGGGTACTAAGGAGAATTCACACGCCAGATCGCCTGATTTACTCTGCTTCCCACTCCCAGTGATTCACTTGTGATCACCAGTTATCGTCGTTTCCTCTGGCCTCCGCGAGTTTGTGGAAACTGGGAGGGTGGGGGTCTCGCTCGCGAGCCCTCTGAAAAACTATCGCACCCGCCAGACGCGGGACGAACCAGCGGCCGACAGCGAGAGCGAGGGAGGAGGAGAAGGCGGAGGAGGAGGAGGACAAAGCAACGCCGCTGGCGCGTCGCCCACACTGCCCGTTGAGCGAAAGAGGAGGCGGGCAACTTGGCATCGCTCCAACGCGTGCATCTGTTTCTCGACGAGGCCAGCGCCAGGAAAGATTGACCAGCGAGGATCATCTTGGATCGTCTTGCGACACCAGAGCACGCACGAAACCGAACACACACACACACCACACACCACACACCACACACCACACAACACACAACACACAACACACAACACACAACACACAACACACAACACACAACACACAACACACAACACACAACACACAACACACAACACACAACACACAACACACAACACACAACACACAACACACAACACACAACACACAACACACAACACACAACACACAACACACAACACACAACACACAACACACAACACACACACAACACACAACACACAACACACAACACACAACACACAACACACAACACACAACACACAACACACAACACACAACACACAACACACAACACACAACACACAACACACAACACACAACACACAACACACAACACACAACACACAACACACGCACACGCACACGCACACGCACACGCACACGCACACGCACACGCACATGCACACGCACACACACAGTGGGATCGGACGACCGAGCGATGGCAAGACGCAGAGGAGAGGAGGTGACGCCTGTTGGCGCCTCGCCCCCGTAGACTGTCGAAGAGAGAGGATAAGAATGGGCTGGAGTTGCCATGGCATTTTGAAGGCCTTACGGCCGGTGCCGCCGACCCTGAAGACGGCGACGACGAGGACGACGAGGATGTTGAGGAGCAGGTGGCGGAGGGCGCTAGGGAGCAGGAGGGGCGAGGAGGAGGAGGAGGAGGAGGAGGAGTAGGAGATGCGAGGGGGAGGAGGGGTACGAGGAGGGGCAGGAGAGGGACAAGGATGGGCAGACGAGGAGGGGGGGAGAGCAAGGGAGATAGCGAGGCGAACCGCCCGAGGGAGAGTCGTATCTGCACCGGGACCCCCGGGGACCCCCCCGGGACCCGCTCGAGCGGGTCCTGGGGAGGTCCCCGATCGGGGACCTCCCTGGGACCCCCCCCCGGCGGGGAAGGGATCAAAGGGAGAGGCTTCCTTTCGACTCAACTATAAGCTTTTCTTGGCCGCCAAACCGCCCGAGGAGGAGGAGGCGTATCTGCCCCGGGACCTCCCCCGACCAGAGGCCATCTCCGGGACCCCCCCTTCCCTCGGCGGGGAAGGGATCAAAGGGAAGGGGCTTCCTTTCGACGCTTTTCTTGGCCGCCAAGTCCGAGGAGGAGTCGTATCTGTCCCAGGGCCCTCCCGGGCCCCACCCCGGGAGGCCATCCCCGAGACCCCCCCCCCGTCCCGGTGGGGAAGGGATCTTAATTCAAGGGAAGGGGCTTCCCTTCGACTCAACTGCAACGCTTTTCTTGGCCGCCAAACCGCCCGAGGAGGATCCCCCCCCCCAGACCTCCCCCTCCCCCGACGGGAAAGGGATCATAGGGAAGGGGCTTCCGCTCGACTCAAGCACGACGCTTCTCTTGGCCGCCAGACCGCCCGGGGAGGAGTCGCATCTGCCCCGGGACCCGCCCCGGGAGGCCCCCCCCAGGACCCCCCCCCCGGCGGGGAAGGGATCAAAGGAAGGGGGCCTTCGACTCAACTACAACGCTGAAACATTGTCTTGGCCGCCGTACCGCCCGGGGAGGAGTCGCATCTGCCCCACGGACCCCACAAAACCCCCGGGAGGCTCCCCCCTTGACCCCCCCCCCTGCGGGTGTCGAAGAGAGCGGATGAGAATGGGCTGGAGTTGCCATGGCATTCGAGAAGATTCTCTTCTCCAGCCACCAGCACATTCAGATGAGGCTGCTTCCTCACTGCAAGACTCTACAGCGGTCGCCTGGTGGTCTGCGCTGAAATAAAAAAAAGGGCAGGAGGTGTAGCGTAGGCGGCCGCCGACTCCGTCGGCCAGCCTTGCTCCTCCCGGCCGCCCTCCCAGACTCCCGGCGTCATCCACGTTTGGGCCAACGGTCACCAGCAGGAGCTGTTCTGGACCTCCCAGGATCCGCGCAGCGCCGCCGCCGTCTGGCTCGCGCAGAAGAGCGGGCGACGACGCCTGCACGCCCACTGCCCCCCGGCCGACCCCTCCCTGGGCACGGGAGATGCGCAGGCGCCCTCCTGGCCAAGCTAGGAGGGCGCGGCGTGGACACCGGTGCTGGGTTCAGGATGGGCCTGGCCAGGGAGCAGAGGATAGGCACAGTCTTCGTCGCCCTGGAGGAGGGAGGGAGCAGAGGAGGAGGTGGAGGAGGAGGAGGAAGACGAGGAATGCGGTCGCTCCTGCGCCACTGCCGTCGCGTTCCTCCCTTCGACTGCCATCGTGTCATAGTGCAGGTTTGCTGCCCGCAGCTGCGTTTACAGCTTGAGACCTGACAGCGCATGGGTCGTGTGCGCGCGTCTGCCGGCGTGGAAACAGCGGAACGGATATGTCAAGAGTCATATTGCCGAGAGTTGTCGAGGCTTGACGTCAAGCGCAACGACTACACCTGTGGATATGTTCCAGATACTTGTTACAATTCTCTGTACCAGAGAGAAAGATGCAGTGCAAAACGTAACAATGGGGTAGATGCGCTCCTGCACGACGCCGCAGCTCAGGCAACATTACGTGTTTGTCATACTCAACGGTGCATTAGGCCATCATGAAAATGTCGGAGGTGTTGGCCAGAGCCGTAAGTCATCACGAAGATAACCAAGGATCTCTGCGAAGCACGGCGTTGACGCAAGTCACCAAGAGGATAGCAAAGGTAGTCATGAAGATGCGGATGGCCATCAGGCGGTTGAAGACATCCGGGAAGCACCAGGCGTCGGAGATTGCGTCAGGAGAGGCAGGAAATGTTCTTGCTTCTCGCGAGGGCACCGTCAGCACGGGGCGGGGACAAGTCCAGTCATTCTCGGAATCTTCTTCTAAGCTGGCCCATGCCACTCAGACAGACTTTCGCAGGCCCGCGCGGATTTCTTGGATCGGCGTTGGACCGTCTGGCGCCATTCATGGCCCGCGAAGCGCGCTGGGAAAAGGGATCCAGCGCCGACGCAAGAAATTTGTGGGCGGACCTCCGAAAGGCATGTTCCTGCAAGTTCGTCGTACCGTAGCCATCTTCGGCCAGCCTTGCCTCGTCCAAGGTGAAGGCAGGCGTGCTGGTATCGTTATTCGGCGGCGAGACCAGGGGGAAGTGAGAAGGGGCGGGCCTCCCCAGAAGGCTCGGAAGGCCCCCCACCCTCTGAGAGGTTGTCTAACCTTTCCGCCTTCTGAGAAGGCCTTCTCCTTCTCACTTCCCCCCCTCGCTCGCCGACGAGTTACTGGCGTCGGAGTCGTGGCCATCGTCGGACTCGTCGTCGAGCCCGAGCAGGAGGTCCTCTGCTGCGGCGGGTAGATGGTCCTCGACGGCCACGAGGCAGGTCTCGACGGCCTCGGCCCTCGACGGCCCGAGGAGCTCCCTTGGTTTGCAGATGTGCAATGTTTAGGCCCAGGGAGACTGAGAAACAGGCAGAAGCCCCGCGATCCACCATATTTCCAACATTTCCCAACCCTCCTTGGTTGGGTATTCGTTTTGGATAGAGCACTGCGGTCGCGTCTCCTTCTCCTCCTCCTCCTCCTCCTCCTCCTCCGCCCCCTTCCTCTTGTCTCCTCTTGCCTTGTGCGTACCTCTTGTGTGTGCATCTTGCCTGCGGTACCTCTTGTGTGTGCATCTTGCTTGGGGGGGCTGCGATCTGCGAAGTTTTAGCCATTTCCGAGGGCTGATTGGGGGGCCAGCGTAGTGGGCAGCCGCCGCAGGTCCAACTTAGACCTCGCCATCCCTCAGGGGGCTGCGACTTGCGAAACTGCTCGCCACTTTCTTGGGCTGCTTGAGGGGGCCAGCACAGTGGGTAGCCGCCGCAGATCCAATGTCGACCTCGCCATCCCTGGGGGGGTGCGACCTGCGAAACTGTCGTCCCTGCCGAGGGCTGCTTGGGGGACAGCATAGTGGGTAGCCGCCGCATATCCAAATTAGACCTCGCCATCCCTGGGTGGCTGCAATGTGCTAACAACTGTCGCGACTTTCGAGGGCTGCTTGGGGGGGACAGCATAGTGGCTAGCCGCCGCAGATCCAAAGTAGACCTCGCCATTCCTGGGGGGGGCGCCGATCTGCGAATCTGTCGCCACTTTCGAGGGCTGCTTGGGGAGACAGCAGCATAGTGGCTAGCCGCCGCAGATCCAAAGTAGACCTCGCCAACCCTGGGCGTCTGCGATTTGCGAAACCGTCGCCACTTTCGAGGGCTGCTTGGGGGGGGGGGGCAGCATAGTGGGTAGCCGCCGCATATTCGAAGTAGACCTCGCCATTCCTGGGGGGCTGCGATCTGCGAAACCGTCGCCACTTTCGAGGGCTGCTGGGGGTGACAGTATATCTAGAGGGTAGCCGCCGCAGATCCAAATTAGACCTCGCCATCCCTTAGGGGCTGCGATTTGCGAAACTGTCGCCATTTCGGGGCTGTGGATCCGAAGCAGACCTCGCCATTCCTGGGGGGCTGCGATCTGCGAAACCGTCGCCATTTTCGAAGGCAGCTTGGGGGGACAGCATAGTGGGTAGCCGCCGCAGATCCCAATTAGACCTCGCTATCCCTGGGGCCCGAGGGGCTGCGATTTGCGAAATGGTCCCCACTTTCGAGGGTTGCTTGTCCAAAGTAGACCTCGCCTTCCCTGGGGGGCTGCAACCTGCAAAACCGTGTCCACTTTCGAGGGCTGCTTTGGGGACAGCATAGTGGGTAGCCGCCGCAGATCCCAATTAGACCGCGCCATCCCTGGGGCCCGGGGGGCTGCGATTTGCGAAATTGCCGCCACTTTCGAGGGCTGCTTGAGGGGGACAGCATAGTGGATAGCCGCCGCAGATCCAAAGTAGACCTCGCCATCCCTGTGTGGCTGCGATTTGCGGAACTGTCGCCACTTTCGAGGGCTGCTTGGGGGGCCAGCACAGTGGGTAGCCGCCGGAGGTCCAAATTAGACCTCGCCATCCCTGGGGGGCTGCGATTTGCGAAACCGTCGCCGCTTTCGATGGGTGGTAGTAGCCGCAGATCCAAATTAGACCTCGCCATCCCTGAGGGGTCTGCGATCTGCGAAACCGTCGCCGCTTTCGAGGGCTGCTTGGGGGGCCAGCATAGTGGGTAGCCGCCGCAGAACCGAAGTAGACCTCGCCATCCCTCAGGGGTCTGCGACCTGCGAAACTGTCGCCACTTTCGAGGGCTGCTTTGGGGCCAGCGTAGTGGGTAGCCGCCGCAGATCCAAAGTAGACCTCGCCATTCCTGGGGGGGGCGCCGATCTGCGAATCTGTCGCCACTTTCGAGGCCTGCTTGGGGGGGCTGCTATAGTGGGCAGCCGCCGCAGATCCAAATTTGACCTCGTCATCTCTGGGAGACTGCCATTTGCAAAACTGTCACAACTTTCGAGGGCTGGGGGCCAGCAGAGCGATCTGCGGAACTGTCACCACTTTCGAGGGGTGCTAGTGGGTCCAGCGGAGTGAGGCACCGCGAAGATCTGAGCGAGGCCTCGCCGTCCCGGGGGGGGGTGCGATCTGCGAAACCGTCGCCACTTTCAAGGGCTGCTGGCGGGTCCAGCGGATCGATGCACCGCGCAAATCTGAGCGGGACCTCGCCGTCCTTGGGGGGCTGGGATCAGCGAAACCGTCGCCACTTTCGAAGGCAGGTGGCGGGTCCAGCGGAGTGAGGCACCACGCAGATCTGAGCGGGACCTCGCGATCCTTGGGGGGCTGCGAGCCTCACGAATGCCTCTCGAATGCCGCGCCCATGTCACGTCATCACCTCTGTATAACGTCTCCCAAGCTACTCATGCCCAGCATTGCGCAGGGGTTGGGTACGTCGCCACGGTAATTTCTGGATCGGGCGTCTTCCCCCCCCCCCCGTCTCGCATGTTCTCATATGGTATTGGAAGCGACGTTTGTTTGTATCTGTGTTTATTGCGAAGGCCTTACGGCCGGTGCCGCCGACCCTGAATGGAGACGACGACGACGACGACGACGACGACGACGACGACGACGACGACGACGAGGACGACGACGGCGGCGGCGGCGGCGACGACGATGACAACGGCGGCGGTAACGACGACGACGCTGACATGGGCAAGAGTTCTCAGGAATGGTTCTTGGGGTCTCTTCGGAAGTCTCTCGGGGGCCTCGGGGGAGGAATTTTGGGGCCTCTTGGTAGCCTCCTGGGGGCCTCTTGGGAGCCTCTTGGGGGTCTCTTCGGGCTTCCTGGGAACCTCTTGTGGGTCTCTTGGGGCTTCCTGGGAACCTCTTGGTGCCTCCTGGGAGCCTCTTGGGGCCGAGGGCTCGAAATGTCCTTTCGGGTCCCCCGTCTGGGCACGCTCTTGAAGCCGTCTTGGGGGCATCTGGGGCCGTCTTGGAGGCGTGTTGGGCTGCCTTGGGGTACTCTTGGGCTGGTTTGGGGCCCTCTTGGAGACCCGAGAGGAGATCTTGAGGGCCTCTGGTGCTGTTTTAGAGCGGCGGGAAATGGAAAAGGTGAGAACGCCCAAATCTTCAGAAAACCAACGAACAATCAATGAATTTGGCCTCTTGGGGCCCTCTCGGGAGTGCTCTTGGAGGCCTTTAGGGGTATCCTGGCGGCCTCCTGGGCAGTCTGGAGGGCGTGAAGGTGTTCTGGACCGATCCATTGGCGATTGGGGACACTCTTGGACGGTCTCGGCGGCCTCTTGGGGCAGCCTGTTTGGTATTTCTGAGGCCCCAGGGCCCCCACGGGGGGAAAGCGTAGCTGGGTGGCGACCCCCCCAGGACCCCCCCGGGACCCCCGGCGCGGGGACGGATCAAAGGGAAGGAGTTTCCCTTCGATTCGATTACGAGATTGCTAGATGTTTCCCTCGCTGACAAGCCTGAGGAGGAGGGTGCATGGAAAGGGGACGACGGAGACGACGACTCGAACAGCAAGCCCCTCACACACGCCGACAGGGTCGGCGGATCCTTCTCTCCTGGACAGTCCGCATACGTGCCCTCGGCGTTCCCCTTGGGCTCTGGCGCATTCGCGGTGGCAGAGTCCTCTAATTCGGATTCGCTATGCGCGGGACAGTAGACATCCAGCTGACGCAAGAGGCTCCTGATCCTGTTCAGGAGAGTTGTTTTTTTTGCGCGCGGCGATGTGCATGTGTACCATCGAACTACGCGAGACTGGACAACTGCGCCTGCATGTAAGTGACATGCACTGCAAGTCGGATCCAGCCGTCGCCGGGATAAAGATAAATTGCACCATAATCCTGGACATCAGGAGTGTCGTGAAACACGTGGAGCCAGAAGTACATCTCAGGATCGCATTTGCCCACATTCGCAAGTGCAGGAACTTGTGACGCAGGACTGCTTGGGCGGCTCCCCGTAACCGCCCAGAAGATGGATGATTGGCCACCAACAGCAGTCTTGCCCCCAATGAGAGGTTTTGCCACCTCCGAGGAGTAATTCTTCGGGATGAAGATAAACTTCATGAAACTCTCAGGGAGATCCGGAACGTGCAACATGGCATGGTGATTGCTGCGTTCGCCATCGTGTTTGGTCTCAGGCTTGGGACCAGACCAGAACACCGTTCAGGACAAACTGAAGGAGGTGAACGGCATCGTTGCCAACATTCAAAGTCAAACGAATCGCATCAGTTTAACATCCGGCGTCACATGTCTGCTGGAACACATTCACAACATCAATCACAACACCTGTGTGCACTGTCAGGAATCAGTTGGCCAATGCCAGGAACGATGCAACATCGTGAAAGAGAGAGAGGATGGAGGCCGGAGGGATGGAGGGAGGAGGCTGGGAGGAAAGGCGGAGAATGGTGGATGTGGAGAAAGGGGAGGGCAATGACGAGGAGGAGGAGCAGGAGGAGGAGGAAGAGGAGGAGGAGGCTGGGCGGGGGGGGAGGGAGGATGGTCCGGAGGAGGGCCAGGTGGACAACTCGGCCATCTCTCGTGCTCCTGCCCAGGGACGTCGTGGATTCGCCTGTGTTTGTTCGTCAAGCACTTGTTGGAGATAGCACGGATAACAGAAAGTTCCCGTCGGAGCAGGGAGGCAAGGGTGGATGGTTTCTCCGAAGAGCTTAGGCGACCCGTCCTCTTCCTCGTCCTCCTCCTCGTCCTCCTCCTCGTCCTCCTCCTCCTCCTCCTCATCATCCCCCTCCTTCTCCACCTCCTCCTCCTCTTCCTCCTCCTCGGGTCGCCTTCGGCCCCGGGGGAAACCGTGCAGGCAAGGGGCGATACCGAGTCCAACCACCAGCCGCGAGCGAGCGCAGCCGTGTGTTGGCCAGGAGCAGGCGGTCTCGGACCTGAAGGACCAGCCCGCGCCCTCTTCTGCGCCTCCTCCTTCGGAGGAGGGAAGGACGAGAAGAAGAAGAAGAAGAAGCAGGGGGATTGGTACGATGATAGGTCCTCGTTTTCTTCACTGTTTTGCCGATCGTGGCGGGCCCTCGCACCCCCCCCCGTGGAATAGATCTTGGCCGTTTTGGGCGCCTCTTTCGAGCAGGTGGAGCCTCCCCCATAGGACGCTCTGTTGCAAACAGTCGCACTACGCAGAGGTCCAGAGCCAGACCCCCCCCTTCCCCCTCCTTTCTACCCAATGTCGAAACGCCGAAAAAGAAAACGCTCACTAATCGATCAAACGATCACATGGATTGGGGCAAGCGGGTTCGGTCCGTGGATCTGGCGCCCACGCACCAGATCCACGGTGTTGATAATCCATGGTAGCATGCGCCCGGGAGCAGGATCATGAGGAGTTGGACTCAAGCCAGCTGCCCCCTGCCCCCCACCCGCCCGACTTTTGTGTATATATATATAGAGAGAGAGAGAGAGAGAGAGAGAGAGGCTCAAAGGAGGGACATGTACCGATATCGTGACCCTTCCCTTGTTTTTGCCCTTTCGGGCGTCCTGGGTGACCCTCGTCGCCACCGCTGGATTCGCCTCGAAAGTGTGGTCAGACCCCACCCCGGGAGAGGGCCCGGGGGCAGCGGTGCCGGTACCTCTTGCTTTCCCCCAGAGGCCGGCCACGGCAGCGCTCGCCCCTCGCCAGGCTGGGCCACGGTGCGGCCACGCCGCTGACACGAGGGAGCAGGTGGGGTTCAGCAGGGGCCTTGGTGTTCGGGCCGTTGCGCAGAGCTGGGTCAGGGAGCCTCTTCGTGACCGAGGCCAGGAAAGCGCCTTCGTGCCCTGTTAGGCGTTCCTCATGGCGGCACGGTGTGTGTGTGTGTGTGTGTGTCTGTGTGTGAGTGCGTGTGTGTGTGTGTATGTGTGTGTGCCGCGCGACGGGGACTTGCCGATCGAGGCCACTGTGCATTCGGGCCTCGTGGAAGTCGGCACGGGCCCAGTCTTACCCAGGTCGCACGTGCTCCATGCCTCGTCTTGCCACCGCTCCACTGTGCGAAGAAGAAAAATAATAAGCAGCGTCTTAATTAGATCCGGATGTCCACGCGGATTCGTTTCTTGGATCGGCGATGGGTCTCTTTTGCGGTGCCCACGGCGCCGCCGCTGGCGCGCTCCGAGAAATCCACGTAAAGCTCACACATGTTATGTGTATGTGGTGTGGCTTTCCTCTAGTTGCAGGAGGGCTATCGTCCTCCTCGCATTTCCGCCGCGTCCATCATTTCTTGTAATCGCGCTCGTTGCGTTCTCGATCCCCGCCTCGCTGAACAGACCGTCCTGCATTCTTCGCTTCCCCAGCCGCCGCTGGCGGCCTCCTCGTCCTCCCTTGGGCAGTGATCCTCCTCTTCCTTCTTCACTATCCAGTTTCACGACCCAGCTGTCTGGTTTCTCCTGGTCGGTATGACGATGATCCTCCTCCTTTCCAGTTCTTTTTGCTGCTCCCGCTCCTCCCCCAGAGGTCCTCGGGAGGTCCTCGGGGGCCTTCAGAGTCTCCAGGAGGCCCAGAGAGCGGCTCGATGAATCATGAAGTGACAAACGCACATCCGCATCTAACTGGGGACCGGGCCTGGGGTGATGGGCCGACTTTTCACCACCACTACCACAGGTAGGCGAGGGAGGAGGAGGAGGAGGAGGAGGAGAAGGAGGGGGAGGACCTCCATCCACATTCTCCGTTCTCCCCCGTCCTACCTGTGCTAGTGGTGGTGTAGAATCGACCCATCATGGGGGCCCAGGGGCAGCATCCCCGACCGCAAGTGGGGGCGTCGGGGGCCGGGCCTGCTCCTGGGGTGCCCCGGATCGGCCCCCAGAGCGCTCTGTCGGCCGTGACGGCGGCTCAAGACGGCCTCCGGGCGTTCGGGGCGGCCCACGGCAGGGCTGGACCTAAACGCTGTTTTGCTGGACCTCGGCTGTGTTCCGTTTTTCGTTCTGGGCGGGAGGTACGGGAAAGCAGGTAGAGCAAAACGAAGCACACAACGAAAACACAACGCTAAAAACAGCGTTTAAATCCAGCCCTGGCCCACGGGGCGTCTCGAGCGACCCCAGAGACGTCCAAGAATCTTGAAGACCGCGCCAAGAGGTCCCCACGAGTGCCCAGAGAAGCAACAACCGTCCCTTTCATTCAGGAAGGTGATAAGATTGCGCGCGTGCTTTTTTTGTTGCGACACGGCCCAACGTGACCCAAGATGTCCCCCAAATCGTTCCCCCGCTCCCCAACGGCCCGCAAGAGGGCCCCTCGACGGCCCAAGCGAGCCCCCAGACGGACTAAGAAGTACCGAAAACGGCCCAAGAGGGCCCCAAGAGGGTGCCAAGTGGGAACCCGAGCTGCCAATTCGAGCCTTCCGCCCCAAGGTGACCCCCGAGGTCGCCAACAGACCCCCAAGAGGCTCCCAAGAGGCCCTAGGACGCTACTGGGAAGCTTCCGGGGGAGAGACCCCCACGAGGCCCCACACCGGGCTCCGAGACACTGCCAGAGAGACACCATGGCACGTCCATGAGGCCACCAGGTAAAGAGTAGGCGGCCTGGAAGGCTTGGCCAGCGAACCCGTGAGCGCGGCTGGCCAGACAGCCGTGCTTGGGCCCAAAAAAATTGGACTACGCGTGCTTGGGCGCCTGCCCAGCATTCCAAAAAAGCCGACCCCCATCCCCAGCCTCATCCCCTGCGAGACTCCCACCAAACTACCACCCCAGTTGGGGATACACCCCTCGATACCCGAAGGGGACGGCCTAAATCCCCATATAGGGGGCTAAATCGGCCAGTGGGGCCCAGGCCACGCCGCTGGGGATGGGGATCGGTTAAACGGTGCTCAGCGCCCGCGCCCGGGGCCGAGCATTCCCAGGGGCGGACTTTGGATTCAACGCTCGGGGGCGACCAAGAGGGGGGTGATGACTAGGGGGGTAGATAGCATGGCGGGGGCCATGATATCTCCCATATTCATGGCGCCTCTTCTCATTTCAATGCGTCCCCTGTCCTGGACCGCGCACGTGCCGCCAGCCATGATTTGCGCCCCCCCCTTTTGGACACCTCCCTCTTGGCCGCCCCCGACATGCGCAACGCTCCAGGCGCGGGCTTCCAGCGCAGGCGCAGGCGGGCGCTCCCGCCCGTGGGGCGGTAGCGACGACGGCCGACCCCATACAGTTGGGCTTGATTCGTAGCTCGGCCCTAGCAAAAGAAGGGCACCCTTGTGTCCTGTCTTCACCATGCCTTCTACGTTCCAATGGCAATGTAACCCTCGGAAGGGTCTGGTGTCCTCTTCCTGTGTCCGCTCCAATCAAGCTCGACTGTACGCCTCCCCAGCGGCAAGCTGGGAAGGCGTACAGTCGTGTTTGCTTGGCGCGCCAGCGACGCCGGCGATGGCGTTCAAGGTTGAACTCCGTACGGCAGAGCGACGCGGAGGCACTGAGAGACACGGTGTAACGCCACAGGGCCCGACGGAATTCAACCTTGAACGATCGGGGCCGCGATCGATTCAAGATTGAACGGTCGATGCGGTGTCACAGACCTTTGCGCGCGCCGACGCCGCACGAACCCTTTGTACGCCTCCCCGGCGCCAAGCGAGCCGCGGGCCCCGGCAGTCCTGGGGCGTGCTGGACGACGCCAGCGGCGACTTCCTGCTGAAGGCCGCGCCCGTCGCGCCGCCCCGCCCACGGGGGCGCGGTGCGGCCGGAGGGATGATGAGGGGGAGGAGGAAAAGAAGGAGGGAGGAAGCACGTGTAGGTCAATCCTTCTGGTTCGGCTTCTCCTTGTAATTACGTCGATTTCGATCTCGTTCGTCTCTCCTCTTCTCTCACACGGCCTGGCTTGCGTGTACTCTGTGCCCTTCTGGGCCCGCTGTCTTTCTACTCGCCTCTTGCGCCTATATCGATTTCAGCTACGCCCGCCAGGCGTAATATGTTGTCCTACGGGCCTGACTTGGCACTCGTTTTTCTTCACACGGACGCTACAGCCTTGACGGTCGAGTGTGCCAAACGTGGAAAAGGAATTCAGGATGCAGAACCAATACCAGGATGTCAACGAACAACAGAAAATGGTAGGAAGAACTGTGTCAACGCTGACCTTGAACCCTCGAAAGGGCGGTCCAGCGGATCGCCAAGATGCCGGGCCCGCGTCGGATTGCCTGTGCGGCGCTACCGTGCGCAACATGCCGGGGTTCCCGCGCGCCGCGACCCCGAGGCCGACGACAGGAGGAGGAAGAGGAGCAATCATTGGAGTCGGGCGGGGATCTGAGGTGGCCCAGGACAGGTTCTGGCCAGCAGGAGGGGTTGGGGCCAGGTTCAGGGTGTATGGCTCGACACGGTTTTTCCCAACCACTTTTCGGTGTTGGGCCCTCGTTTTGACAACGCATCGCCCCGCGTCTTTCCTTCGGCCTCCCCGTCTTCCTCCCCTTCTTCCCTTCTCTCGCTTCTGTCCTCCGCGAGTTCTCACTGCGCTCCTCATCATCACCACCACCATCACCATTCATTCATTGATGCATGCATCCATCATCATGACCATGATCATCACCATCATCACCCTCGCCATCACCATCATCACTGTTACCACCATCGTCATGTCGGCACACTCCTCACACGCTCCGAGGCCCCATAAGGCCCCATCGCCAAGGCCCGCATGCCTTCTTCAAACCTTTTCGGCGCACCCTCTACACGCTTCGTGGCCCCAGAGGGGGCTCCATCGAAGGCTCCAGTGCCAGGGCCCGCATGGGCTTGTCCTCACCATTCCGGCGCACCCCTTCTACGTTTCGTAGCCTGCCCCCACAGGGACACCGAAGGCCCCAGCGCCAGGGCCCGAATATTCGTTCTCCGGACGATATCGTGGCCCAATAGGGAGCCCTACTTGAGGTTCTTCCTCGGACTGGGCTGGGGGATTCTGGTCGTGGCCGCGGCTCGCCGTGGCCAGCCCCTGGGTTTCTTGTTCGGCGTTCTTTCTGGTAGCACAGTGACTGCAGGATCGCAGTGTACTGTGCATATCCTTGATGGTAGGCATAACCATGCCGAATCAGGTGGGCACATGGGCTCTCCCATCCTTGTGTTGCGGTGCTGGTCCCAGAGTCTGAACAGGGACCGTTGTTGGCACCTGGTATTGGTGGATGGTATGTGTGGTCAGCGGTCCCCGGCACAGCCACCTCTCTGTGACGCCTAAAAGGCCCCGATCTGATGCCGCGTAGGTGAGGACGCTGTGCAGGACCTCCTAAGGAGGAGGGAGGATGAGGAGGAGGAAGAGGAGGAAGGGCAGGAGGAGGAGGGGGAGGGGCAGGAGGAAGAGGATGAGGAGGAGGAGAAGACCCGACTGCGTCAGCCGCGCAGGCCTCGGAGCAGGACGCCATGGATGTCATCTCGGCCATCGGGCCAGCCGTGAAAAACCCGTCCGCGTTCGTGACGCGCAAGCTCCAGAACCTCAAGGAGAAGCCTGCTGCGGGGCGGCCCTCTCTCTCGCGTCGCTGCCCCCCCCCCTTGGCCCCAGGAGGGAAGAATGTACGTCAGGTTCGTGTAGTGCCGACTTCCCGCGTTGGTCTCTGACACCGCGAGGATCGTTCAACCTTGAACGATCGGCCGTTTCCGAAACGTTTAAATCTTTCCACATCGAACGATTCTGGGTCGCCCGCGGCGTTCAACATGGAGCGCCGTTGGCGGGTCGCCGCCGGTTGACACGAGGCGAACCCACCGTACGTACGTGCACCACAATTGTTCTTGGGTTTCGAAAGACGGTGCTGCGCGACCGCTCGTAAGGCGAGGCTGGCCTCGTGGAGTGGGTGGGGTCGTATTCGAGTGCGTGGTTGGGCGCATGCGCATTTTCGCTCCCTGTTGCCCCTCCGCATTTTCTGTCGTTCGGCGCCGCCATGGATCTTCCCGTTTCAGGCGGTCCTGCTTTGGGCCAGAGGCCGTCCCCCCAGCGATTTCCATGATTCTGTTCAGCGGGCACCCCAGCGCCACCACTCAGGAGCCAAGGCTTTGGATCGCGATCGGCCCGTTCCGTTCCAGTTCTGTCGTTCGCCGTCGCTTCATCCTCCTTTCCTCCTCCGCGTCCTCTTGCTTCTCCCAGGCAGCCTCGGCGTCTTCACATATCACATTGCATGGTCGAGGTGCTCCCTTTGGTCCGGGAGCGCTTCTCCTGCGCCTGGGCAAGGGCAAAGTCTCCTCCATGCTGCAAGCCTGACTCAGGCTTCAAAGTGCACTAAGATGGGGCGATTTGCATTTCTGTCCATTTCGACGATTCGATCACCCCCACCCCCCACCACCCCCCCCCCCATCCTACAAAGAAGCTGAATGGTTGGGCCAAATCGACCTGGGGGCTGACTGGGTCCAGAAAGCAGTGCAAACGGCAAAGGAGTAATGCTTATCTTCAGTCGGTCGACAGTTCGATGCCCCGCAGCTCGGCGAGGCGTCTTGAATCGTCTTCTCAACCGCCAATTGTTCTCGCGAGTTACTAAAGTCAGTGCGATATGTTGCGAGTGATGTCTTCGACCAGGTCGTCGTTTTCTGGCCATTGTTTTGACGATTGGCGCTGGCCCTCTCACCCCCCCTTCCCCCCCCTGGAGTAGATCTTAGCTGTTGTTGGCGCCTGTTTCGGGCATGCGGAGTCTCCCCCATGATGGACGCCCTGTTGCAAAGAGTCGCACTAAGCAGATGTCCGGAGCCAGACCCCCCCCCTCCCGCCGAATGTCGAGACGCCGAATGAGAAGACGATCACCAGGTGACTGCGTCCGCCTCAGCTTCGGCCGAGGTCCGAACGCCTGCGCTCGGCACTGGATGCAGTGCTGGAGCGTATGACGTGGCCCAGGGTTGGACCTCGCTGTTTGGCTGGACTTCGGCTGTGCCTCGTCTTTCGTTTTGGGAGGGAGGCACTGGAACACGGGTAGAGCAACACGAAAAACAATACGAGCACAAAACGAAAAACAACGTTTAGGTCCAGCCCTGCCGTGGCCTGCTGGAGCGCTCGCGCCCTGATAACCAGCTGGTGCCGGAGAGCTCACACCGTGGGCTGCTGGAGCGGGGTCCCTCGCGCACGCTGGACGCTGGCGCGCACGCCGTGGCCTGCTGTGTTGCAGCGTTGTCTCCTGTGAAGTTGGGTGCTTGAGCGGCACCCTGCTTGGGACTTTAAAGATGCAGTCAACCCGCGCAGTAAGGATGAACGACTTCCAAAGGTTGCCCTTGCATCCTTCCCTTTGACCGCTGTCGCTGGCCGCGCCCCGCTCGCAGAGTGTCGACATGGCCTTCCAAGGCCCTTGCATCCTAATCGTGCGTCCTTATTATACGGGTTGGCTGCACCTGCGGCACACTCCGCCACCGTGCCTGCGCAACAGGGTGCAGGAGAGAGTTTGATTTCTCAGTTCTTCGCGTATCCCCTACCAGCCGACTTTGGCGTGCACCTCCGGCGGCTGCTAGCTGCCGATGGCACCCCCTCTGTGAGCGCCGCGCGGCCCGCCCTGGCTAGTCTCACCTCCCGCTGTTCTCTTGTTGTCTTTGTTTTACTCTCTCGTGTGCAATTTAGGCTCCTGCTTGTTAGCTGTAGCGTTGGACGGCGCGCGGCCCGTCCGCTTGCGCTCGCGAATAGAAAAGTATTCCCACCAACCCGCCAGGAACGATGTCCGCGATGCCCAGCGGAGCTGCCTTTCTCAGGGGAGCGTGGCATTGTTGGGAGAGCGCGGGGAGGCCACAGGCTTCTTGGATGCCTTTCGGTGTCTCTTGGGATGTCCCTCGGGGTCTGCTGGGGACCCTCTTGGGGCGTATTGGAAGCCTCCTGGCGTCTCGTGGGGGCCGTTTGGGACGTGATGGTGCGCTCTTGGCGGTCTTTAGAGCATCTTGGTGTGTATTGGGAGCCTCTTGGAACCAGGCCATCGTGGGTTTGGGGGGGCACTTGGGTTCTTTTCGGAGATCTTGGTGCCTCTTAGGCGCCGTCGGGGGGGGGCCTGGTTCGACTTCCCTCGGGGGGCATGCTTCGCTCCCGAGCTGGGGGGAGGGGGGGTGGGTTTTCGGCCCCTTGATTGTATTGCGCTTTTGTTGCGGGACATGCCCCGCAATCTGGTTTGCAGAGGGGGGGTGCGGATCAATGCGTCGAGGAGGGGGCCCCAGGCAGCAGTAAAGACACGTTGCCAGGCAACGGGCAAGTATTCTAATATGCGCACTCCTTGCAGGCACGGCGGCGGGTAGCTATGATGGGGGAAATGTGCAAGGGACGGCGGGGGTGGGGGCACGGCTGCCAGCACTGTATTCACGACTCGCTCTCACACGGGGCCCGTTGCTCGCACAACCTGGTACCTGTGCCGCGGCGCCGCGTGTGTGCACGTGGGTGGGTGGACGGGGGCGGGTGGTTGTACGCGGGTGCGCGAGCGTGCGCGTGCGTGCGTGGGTGGGCACGCCCGCGTGTGTCCGTGTGCGCGCGAGCGCGGTCGAGAAAGATAGAATCCGGAAGAAGAGCAGGGGGAGAGACCATTTGGGTAATATTGGGGAGGAGAGAGGGACCATTGCATTTCTCTTGAAACACCCCCGATAACAGTAATATCCCAGCTGGCACTTCACTAACAACAAATGGTCCTCTGACTGCAAGGGCTGCGGACCACACCATTCCACACTCTGCCAAATGGGTGCGGGAATTGTCGGGCAACGGAATGGTAGAGTTCATAACGCATTTACTGCACGCACGACGGCGCCAACAACAATTGTCGAGCAGGTAAGTCTGTTCGCGCTCACCTACTCGCGGACCATTCAACGCGTATATCCCAAACCCTCGATACCCGCCTCTTTGTCTTCGATCGTGCCCTCCTTAGGGTAGATCTTTCTTACCTGCCGGCCCTTCAAACAGGAGAAGAGAGGACGGATGAAAGGGGAAGGGAGTAGAAGGATGGAGCACGGGATCCGCAGGAGGGGAGGTTAAGTGGCACAACCGGACGGGCTGATCGGGCGGGTCGACCCGTACGGGCCGGTTGGGAAGGCGGGCCCAAGTGGCCAGGTCGAGCAAGCGGATTGTTGAAACGAAAATATGACGTGAGTCGCGAGGAGGTTTCGAACGATAGCCCGACTCACAAGTGATTCGCGAAAAAAACCAACGCGAAAACGCGATTCCTGAGCGTCGAGGGCGCGGCGTTTGGATAGATTGCGAGGACGTCCCACGCGAGAGCGCGATTCCTGCATGAATTGCGAGGAACTTCCGCGCGAGAGCGCGATTTCGAAATACTTGGCGAGGAAGTGCAAGGCGGGAGCCGTTTTTGTTGTAACCCGGGGGCCACGGGCCCACTTTGGTGACCATTGTCTTTTTGTATAAATCCAATTGCGAACCCTTGGAGGAGCACTCGATTGAAAAACAAAATGGTCACCAGGAAAGGTGGATTAATAATGATTTTTTTTAGAGTTTAAACTCAGCAACCACAGAACAACAACGCAGCAAACACCTAGGGACAGTGAATGACCGTTCTGCCCCCTGTGGGTCGCCGGCGGATCGCGGGTGCTTTCTGGGCAAGGTCGCGGGCCAGGCCGACAACAACAGCAACAACACAACAACAGCGCAACAATAATCCGCACCACGGAACCCCGCTTCAGCCACGCACCCAGGGACGTTGAATGAGTATTCGGCCCCTTCACTCTGATCAACACGTGCGTGCCGCATGCTATAATCTGGCATGGATGACAGAGGGCGTCGATACCAGCCTCTTGCGTATGCTTTATTTGACATGCGAGATGAAGAGCGCATGCGTGCACGGGGTGCCGGGCGCCAGTACTCCAAGCTGCGGCCGTGAGGGGGGGGAGGCGATTCCAGTTCTTTCTGGGACAGAGCACACTACGCGGCTGTTGCTATGTTGTGCACGCTGTGTGGTGATGCGAACTATGTGGTGTAAGCGCGCCCGCGACCAGTCACGGACGGCAGCCTGGCGAGACCATTGCACACCTATGCAGCCGTCGAGACGCCCACGGGCGGCAGCGGAGAGCAGTGTGGCGAGGTGACGTACCTTACCCAGGATACGGTGCCCCCACGAGGCACCCACACGCGGCAACGGGCGGCCACCCGGCAAAATCTCGGCTCACCGTAAGATAATTCGAGCAAGAATTTTTCAGTGCAAGCATGGTTTGGAGGAAAACGGTTGGGGTTTCACATGCGTCCGAACACCATGGCGTTGACATAGTTAAAACGCCGAAGTGTTACGGATTTCCACGTGCGCGCGCGGAAATTTGCAAGAGTTGGCGGGTGCGCGATGATGTGGTGTTTTCGACATGCGCGCGCGTTTGGCCCGCATGGTCTCATTTGACCGAAGGCAAAGCTTGCTTCGTTTCTGTGGATTTTTGCGAGTGTGCGTGCGCAGCAGTCTGGAACCTTGTTGGTGAAATATGCAAGGGTGCTTGGTCGTGGTTGGCCAGCTTTCCATTCTCACGGAATCGTATTTTCCGCCATGTATGAACGGGTGACTCGATATTGGGCAGGTTTGGATTTATCACTTCTGACATCCAGGATCGCAGATCGTGAACCATACATTGAAGCACGCATTGAAAATACATAGAGGATGACCCCAACCTTCACTTGGGGGGTATAATTCTTCAATTTCCTCGGGTACAAGAATCTGAAACTTGTAGCCAGAAGCGCCGGCCAGCGCAAAGGGTGCCGACGAGTTGCCCGCGGGCGCCCACTGGGCGAAATCCCTGAGAACCCGGTCGGCGCATGGGGCGCCCCCCGGCGCGGCGCCCACGTACGCTTTCTGGGCGACAACACACAAATCGCAGACAGCGCACGGGGTGGCCATGATGAGGCGCCCACGGGCGTTCACGAGGGAATCATCCGGGGCCATCCACTTTTTTCAGAGGTGTGTGAAGTATCGATATTGATAGTTTCCAGGTTTTCAGGGTTTCCTGTTCTTCCGCGCGGGCTTCAGGGACGAATGGTCGAGCGCGTTCCGTCGCGCAGGTTCTTTGCGTGATGTTCGCGGTGCATTTTTTGCGCATCGGCGCGCCCTCGAAGATTCCAAGATGCAGGCTGTGTTGCTCTTGGGGGGTCCGCGAGTCGCAGCTGCCGTGGCGCTGTTTTCGAGGTGGCCCCTTCGAGTGCTGTTCGCGGGCGCAACGCGCGGCGCGCGCTGCGCCCAATCGCGCGCGGCGCGGCGCGTGAATCAGCCGGCCGCGCCCGTCGGACCGCCCGGACATTCTTTCTGGATTACAGAATGTGTCAGCAAATGTTTCCGCTTTTTTTTTGCGCAAGCGTTTCGGGAATTTTTCAAAAAAGGAGCCCAGCAATTTTCAAAACAAAAAAAGTTTTGAGGGGTGGAATGCGCCCGCCGCGCAGGACATCTGAATAATTCTGAAATCCGGAATTTTTCAAAATTGATTCTGGAATTTTTCAAAATCGATCCCAGAAATTTCCAAACACGGTTCTGACATATTTCGGAAAGTAGGCCGGACATGTGCAAACATGTTCCCAGATTTGTTCATTTTTACCCCCAGAGAATTTTCCAGAGTCGCGCATGATTTGTCTTGCCAGGTCTTCGGGAATCCTTCGAGGCGCGCGGTGCGCGGCGGCGGGCGATGGGACGGTGCGCCACCGTCCCCCCCGCGCTCGGCAACGAAAATGGGGGTCAGCAGTTGCCAAGTAGCCCCTTACGGGCGACCATTCGATTGCGAATGGGTGACCGACCAGCGACGATTGCCAGAGTAGACAATACCCGGCGCAAATTGCACCCCGCGCGAAGGCTGTCATAAATCTCGGAATCTCCTGAACGTATCAATAGCACACTCTGTCAATATATTCTTCTCGTCCTATTTTTGAATAGCCAAGTCCGTTCCAGTCTGCGCAAGCATTGATAGGGAACATACGTGCGCATGTGTTTATTGATGTACCTGGTGGCCTTCGGCCCATTCCGCCACGGTGCCTGGATCGTGGGTTAGAGGCCTCGTGGATGTTCGTTTGGATATCGTTGGAGACCCCTCGGGGGCTTCCTGGAAACAGTTTGAGGCGTCTTGGGGACCGCTTGGGGACCTCGTGGGGCCTGTTTTTGGACCTCTTGGGGGCCATTTCGGGCCTCTTGGGGGCCTCTTGGGCACTCTGGGGGCCTCGTGGGGCCTCCTGGGCCTTTTGGGGCGGAAGGCTCGAACTGTCGGTTCGGCCGTCTTGTGGCATTCTTGGGCGATCTTGAGCGCCTCATGAGCCCTTTTGGGGGCTCTGGGCAGCGTAGAGCTTCGGAAGCCCGAAAAGCGAAAACGCGAAAATCATTCAACAAAAACAGAAGAAACAACAATTATGTTTGCCTCGTTGGGCCCTCTTGGGGGTCCTCTTGGAGCGTTCAGGGGTTTTTGTTTGGGGTCTCTTGGACCGTCTTGGGGCCATCTTGGGCGTCTTGGAGCGCTCTTGGGATGTCATGGAGGCCCCCTGGGCGTTTGTTGGGGCCCTCCAGCCCCGTCTTGGGGCTTCGTGAAAACTGGAGAATCCATGCGACCGAGCCCACGAGCGCGCGAGAACGCCCCCAGCCCCTAAAAGATTAGAATCCCCCAGTCCTGAGTACAGAGAACAGGGAAACATTGAGGACCGGAGGACGCCCCAATTCGTGCCTCGAGGCCCGCTGGCGGATGTATACGCATCGTGAGCACAGCACGCACGGGTGCACGTGTAGCGCAAATGCATTGCCGGCCCCTCGAGTTAGAGCCCATCCATGTCGGACTTGTGATCGCTTTTGTCATTCATTGTTTTGCCGATCGGCGCGGTTCCCCCCCTCATCATGGAGTAGATCTTGGCTTACTTTTGGCGCCGGCTTCGAGCGGGTGGAGTGTCCCCCAGAGGCAGCACTCTTGCAAACAGTTGCATTTAGCACAGGTCTAGCGCCAGAGCCCCCCCCTCCGCCCCCTTTCCGCCCAATGTCGAAACGCCGAATAAAAAGAACGCTCTCCCCTCCTCCTCCCACCTCCCGTCCCTCCTCCTCCTCCTCCTCCTCCTCCTCCTCCTCCTCCATCCATGTCGGACTCGTCGTGCCAGCGGTGGCAGCAGGCGTGGGGCATGGGTTCCGCGGGCGCTGCCCTGCCCGCCGCCCCGCCGAGGGCAGCGCTGCCGCTCACCAGCCGGACAGCACGGCGCTCGTGACGCCGGTCGAGGGAGGCCCGGTCCAGGTGTTCTTCAACGGCGACGCCTCTGCTGCCGCCAGTGTCAGGTCGGGGGCGTCCCCCTACAGTCAACCATGATAGTAAGGATGGGACAACTTTCCCAGGCTACCCTTGCATCCTCCCCTTCTTGCATCCAAGGCTACCCTTCGGCATTCTGCTGCGCTCCACACGGAAAACGTCAACATGGCGTTCCAAGGCCTTTGCATCTTTACCGCGCATCCTTACTATCCTGGTCGAGTGTACAGGCAGACTTTGGGCGAAGAGTAACAAGTAGCCAAACAAATGCTCAAACAGTTCGCCAGAGTACGCAAAAGATAGTCCCCAGGCAATGTTTGACAATTTTTGAATTTGCCTCCTGTAGAGGGACATGCCCGACTTCACGCCAGTGCCGCCGTTGCTGCAGCTGCCTCTTCCATCGCTGCTGGTCCTTCCGCTAGTCTACTGCCCTGAGTCCGTCCTTGTCCTCATCATTATCAGCCTCATTCCCCCCTCTCGAAGAATAATCGAACCAGAAGCATAAACCTTTGAAGGTCCGCACGGATGTGTTTGATTCGCGCTGGACCACCTTCCTTGGCGTGCGAAGCGCGCCATGGGGGCGCCGCCAGGGAGGTCCAGCGCAAATCCAGAAAATCTGCGCGGACGACCGAACGTTCCCGCCTGCTCCCCTGTCCACTTTGCCACCTGCCGCCGGCACCATTCGGCGGCCAGCGCAAGGGGGGAGTGAGAAGGGGCGGGCCTCCTCAGAAGGCTCGGAAGTCCTCCAGCCTTCTGAGAAGTGTTCGAAGCTTTCCCCGAATACGCCCGAAACTTCTCGGCAGGCCGGAGGGCTTCTGAGAAGCCCCGCCTTCTTCTGAGGAGGCCTTCTCCTTCTCGCATGCCCCCTCTCAGAGGCGACGACAGGGGCGACTAGCCCAGGGGAGACCAATACATGCATTCAGGTGCGCCGATGATCTATGTCTTCGACAAGGCTCCCGGGCGAATACGAGTAATGCCCGCCCCTGGGCTATTCGCCCCTGTCGTCGCCGCCGACCCTCGCTCGCCGCCGGCCCGTGCCCACTTTGCCGCCTGCCGCTGACGCCACGGCGGTCTGTCCCCGCCGCAGCCGCTCCGCGCCTCTTGCGGCCGCCGCGCGTGCCGCGGGGTGCGACGGGCGGAGGCGCAGCGGGCGGAGGCGGCGTGGGGTCCTCGAGGGGACCCTGCAGGGTGGGCCGTTCTCGTGGGCGGACTGGATGGTCAGGCGATCGCAAGCACGGATCAGCGACGGGTCCCGCTTCCATGGGACGTCGCGGATCTTCGCCGCCGGACCAGGGGGTGCCGGCCGCGTTTTGGGAAGGGCATTTCCCCCGATCCATGGATTTGGCGACCGCGCTCCAAATGCATGGATCGCTAGTCCGTGCATGCGCGCCCCCGAGGATGGGCGGTCTCGGGGCCTCGTTTGGGTCTTCCTTCGGACCTCGAAGATCATACAACTGCCTGAGCATAGTTCAACTTTCGGAGGTCCGCGCGGATTTCTTGGAACGGCGCTGGGCCCCCTTGGCGGCGCCTCCAGCGCCGCCCTTGGCGCGCTCCGCGCGCCAGGGATCGGGTACAGCGCAGATTCAAGAACTCCGCGCGAGTCTCCATTTACAGGCCACCCATGCCATCTTGTGGGCTCGAATGGGTACCTTCTTGGCCGTCCACAGGCCAGATCGGATGCCTCCTGGGACTTTTGGGTTGACAGAGGCCTGAGCAAGCGAGCGAGAACGCGAGACGATTCAACCTTTGAAGAACAGTGATCTTTACTTCTTGGGGCCCTCCTGGAGGTCCTCTCGGATCCCTCTTTGTTCATGTTGGGGGCATCTTGGGCCGCCAGGGGGCCATCTTCGGCTTTCTTGGTAATTAGCATTTGGGATCATCTTGGCGGCCGTGGATAAAGGCGGCCAAGACGGCCCAGGCAGGGCACGATGGTGCTTTGCCTGGGCCGTCTTGGAAGCCATCTTTGACATCCAGGAGGCCTTGGAAAGCCCCAGGAACCCTGACATCCGCGCGTCGGGGTCCAGACCTCTGCGGTCCTGTTGTGCAACATCAAAAAAGACACGACCTCGGAGATCTGGGGAGGCGCTCCGGCGCCTAAGAAGCATCGGGAACGGGTTGGTGGGAATGCATGCAGAAGTGCGCCAAGAGAAGGGGGTCAGACTATTGAAGAGGGCCTACCAGACAGCGCTTGGCATTCTACTAGTACCACGCTTCTGGGTGCCAGGGTGGGCGGTGGCGGATATGAGAGAGGGAGGGAGGGAGGGAGAGAGAGAGAGAGAGATTGAGAGAAATCACATACGGCGCTTCAATATGGTAGCTCGTCCTGCCCGTTGTCAAGAGTTGTTGAGCGTCATCAAACTAAACCTCTACGCGATACCATTGGTGTACACACCTTTTCCAGCAACGTCATAGGTCATACAAGCGTCTTGATGTGTTGAGAGTGGATCATTGGTAAGCTTCGCCATGCAGAAGTCGCTTTCACCCTCGGGGTGCAGGATACTTTCTCCTGCGCCCAGTACCCTTTCCTTCCTGGCTTTCGCAGGAGGTCCATCAATGTCCTTGGATAGACATGTTGGTCCATCGTGCAACAATCATATTTGAGGAACCTTGAGGGGGGGCAAGTCATGCTTGATCCGCGCATCGGTGTGTGGTTTCAACGTGGTTTAGAATTAGACCCAGATATTTCCTACGCCCCCATGAACGTCAACATCGCGTTTGTCGCCAGTCTTGCCATGCCCGCGACCGTCGCCTTCAACGCCAAACAGTCGCCGCGGTCGTGGCTGTCGCCATGACAGTGGGAGGTTGGCCTCTTCCTCCCCTCACATTTCCCTACCATTTTTCCCATTATTCCCCCATCCTTCCCCCTCGTCTCTATCCGTCCCTCCCCCCAGCCGTTTCCCTTTGTGTTATCCTCCCCTTATTGTCATTGTCCCAGCCCGTCCCCTGCTGATTGTTAAGTCTGTCTCGTCGTGCTTTCCCACCTCTTCCCTCAACTCGACCTTCTTTCCCTCTCCCGTACCCTCCGTTCCGTGTCGTTCGACCTGTTTGACAGGAACGATTTTGCCGTGTTTTACGGTGCAAGCAATGCGTGTTATAGGTTTGAGCATTTTGTGGTTTGGTCGAGCGTTCTGTCTGGCGATTCTGCAGTGTAAGGTGTTCGGCTTGTGACACAGCACTCGCAGAGGTTTTGAGCGTACGTCAAACAGGGCTAGTCGCGGCATTGTGATCTCTTGTGAGCAGGCATTGTTGTGAGCGCGCAGCCCAGTTGCTGTAAGTTTCCCCACATTTTGCGCTGTATGATACAACCCCCGTGGATGGGAAAGAACGGCAGTTGGGCGGGGCGCATGTGGGCGAGGGGCGCGGCAGAAGGCTGTGCATTCCGGCATCAGATAGCCAACCACATGACAGGGTTGGTGGAGGAAGGGGGGCTAGGTTGCAGAAGGTTGACTCGAAGGAGGGAATGCAGGAGGGGCAAAGGGAGGGGATGTTGGGAGGGACAGTGGTGACGGACGGAGGAACAGAAGTTAATGGATGAGCGAGGGGCGGTACAGAGGGAGGCAGCCGATACTGCATGGCCGTCCGCCCAGGCGAGTACCACGAGCTGCCGTGGAACTCGAGGGATGAGGCGCTGGCGCAGCTCGTGAGCATGGCCCCGCGCCCGCCTCTCGCACACGAACCCCGCCACCCTCGTCGTCGTTCTCTTCTTCCTCCTCCTCCTCCTCCTCCTCCTCCTCCTCCTCCTCCTCCTCCTCCTCCTCCTCCTCCTCCCCCTCCCTCCTTGTCCTCGTCCGCCCTCCTCCCCTCCTCCTCCTCCTCCTCTCCTCTCCTCCTCCTCCTCCTCCTCCTCCCTCCTAATCCCTCTTCCTCTTCGTCCTCCTCCTCCTCTTCCTCCTCTTCCTCCTCCTCCTCCCTCCTCGTCCTCCTCCTCTTCTCATCCCCCTTCCTCCTCTTCGATATCCGGACGATTCCATACGACCCGAGGCTTGCAGGGCGCCATTGTGCATCCTGGCGCAGCCGACCCAATGCGATCTCGGCTCTATACCGATACGGCCCGATCCGACGCACGTTCCGATTTGGTCATCATGCCCCGATTCGATGTTGATCGATCCTGCCCTTGCTGGGAAGCTGGAGAGCGCCCAGCGCGCACCGCCGCGCGCACACGGAGGAGCGCCAAGGCCATGGCAGGCATGGCTCGAGCAGGTTCTCGGAGGAGAAGATCGTCGTCGTTGTCTTAATTATTGTTTTGCTGGTCAGCGCGGGCCCTCGCACCCACCCCCATGGAGTAGAGCAGATCTTGGCTTTTTTTGGCGCCTGTTTCAGGCAGGTGGAGTCTCCCCCATAGGACGCACTGTTGCAAACAGTCGCACTAAGCAGAGGTCTGGACCCCCCCTTCTGCCCATTGTCGAGACGCCGAAAAAGAAAACGTTCATATACCGATACCGCTACACTTCCCTCGTCGCCACGGCTGGATCGCTTCGAGATTCTCGTCAGGACGCACCCTTGAAGAGGTCCGGGGAGTAGCGGTGTCGGTACAGGTCTGTCCCCCTGTCAGTTCTTGATGCGGTCCTTCGGACATTACAGGCGATGGTCGGAGCCAGGTTCTCGATGTCTTTCGCCATCATTCGCTCGACTGTCCTCTCTTGCACCGCGTCTGCACGCAGAGTGGCGATATTAACGTGTGTTTTGTTCATTTGCGAGGCATTTTCGAGTAATGCAGCATTCGACCTGGTAAACCAGAGAGTGATTCATGAAGCTTGTTTTCGGAATCGAGCAGTAAGGTGGATGCTTCTGTCGTGCGGTTTCATTCGCATTGTATCGACGCCATCAGGTTCGTCAATTATTGATGCTTCGCGTATCCCATCAGCGCATCCAGCAACATGCCCAGGCGAGTTGCCTTGATCAGGGAAGTGGAGGAGCATGCATTGAAGCGAAAAGCTGAACTTTTTGAAGGATGGGGCGTTCTCGGGGGCGGTCTTGGGAGGCTCGGAGGCCACTTAGGGCCGTCTTGGCGTCATCCTGGGGCCTCTTGGAGGAATGCTGGAGGCCAACTTTAGCCAATTTGGACCGTCTTGGGGCCATCTTGAAGGAGCTCGACGAGAGGGGGGTACGTACTCAATTAGCGCGCCTCCCCCGGCCCGGGAGGCCAAAACGGGCACAACACATTATTCGGAGCGGCGGGGGCCTTTTGCTCGGGTCGGGTCGGACGAATGGGGGATAGGGTTAAGTCGTGCGTGTTTTGCCAGGGGACGATGTTCCACGACCTTTGAATATTTTTGGACATGTTTCGAGTATTTTCCTAGCAGCGAAGACTGATAGGTTTCTAGTAGGGTCAAAAGAGAGCATCATGACGCCCAAGGGGGGTCTGGGCGCGATCTGGGGGGATGCCGGGGAACTCGTTTCAAGCAAACAGTAACGCACTTCGTGGTCTTCGAGTTCCCAGAACTCCATTCCTGGGCATGATTTTGAATGCCCGGAGCCAACTGTAGGCCACTTCGTGTTCTTCGTGTTCCCAGAACACCATTCCCGGGCCACATTTTGAATGCCCGGAGCCAACTGCAGGCCACTTCGTGTTCTTCGTGTTCCCAGAGCACCATTCCCGGGCCACATTTTGAATGCCCGGAGCCAACTGTAGGCCACTTCGTGTTCTCCGTGTTCCCAGAACACCATTCCCGGGCCACATGTTGAATGCCCGGAGCCAATTGCAGGCCACTTCGTGTTCTTCGTGTTCCCAGAACACCATTCCCGGGCCACATGTTGAATGCCCGGAGCCAACCGTAGGCCACTTCGTGTTTTTCGTGTTCCCAGAACACCATTCCCGGGCCACATGTTGAATGCCCGGAGCCAACTGTAGGCCATTTCGTGTTCTTCGTGTTCCCAGAACATTATTCCCAGGTTACATTTTGATTGCCCGGAGCCAACTGTGAGGCTGAGGCTGAGGCAGGCTGAGATTGAGCCTGAGGCAGGCTGAGGCTGAGGCTGAGGCTGATGCAGGCTGAGGCTGATGCAGGCTGAGGCTGAGAGGCTGACGCTGAGGCTGAGGCAGGCTGAGGCTGAGGCTGAGGCCGAGGCAGGCTGAGGCTGAGGCTGAGGCAGACTGAGGCTGAGGCTGGCAGGCTGAGGCTGAGGCTGAGGCAGGCTGAGGCTGAGGCTGAGGCAGGCTGAGGCTAGGCTGAGGCTGAGGCTGAGGCTGAGGCAGGCTGAGGCTGAGGCTGAGGCTGAGGCTGAGGCTGAGGCTGAGGCTGAGGCAGGCTGAGGCTGAGGCTGAGGCTGAGGCTGAGGCTGAGGCTGAGGCTGAGGCTGAGGCTGAGGCTGAGGCTGAGGCTGAGGCTGAGGCTGAGGCTGAGGCTGAGGCTGAGGCTGAGGCTGAGGCTGAGGCTGAGGCTGAGGCTGAGGCTGAGGCTGAGGCTGAGGCAGGCTGAGGCTGAGGCTGAGGCTGAGGCTGAGGCTGAGGCTGCAGGCTGAGGCTGAGGCTGAGGCTGAGGCTGAGGCTGCAGGCTGAGGCTGAGGCAGGCTGAGGCTGAGGCTGCAGGCTGAGGCTGAGGCTGCAGGCTGAGGCTGAGGCTGAGGCTGAGGCAGGCTGAGGCTGAGGCTGAGGCTGAGGCTGCAGGCTGAGGCTGAGGCTGAGGCTGAGGCTGAGGCTGTGGCTGAGGCTGAGGCAAGCTGCGGCTGAGGCAGGCTGAGGCTGAGGCTGATGCAGGCTGAGGCTGAGGCAGGCTGAGGCTGAGGCTGAGGCAGGCTGAGGCTGAGGCTGAGGCCGAGGCAGGCTGAGGCTGAGGCCGAGGCAAGCCGAGGCAGGCTGAGGCTGCGACTGCGAGAACAGCAGAATTCTACAACTGGATTCTCACCTAAATCTTAAGGGGAATGCTTCCAGATATGCTTCTACACATCGCTGCTAGGTTGCTTTGCCGGGATACTTTAAATTTTTCGTCTAGAATCCGCCTGTAGGGACATGCCCGACCTAAGGATCGGGCAAGGGGGGCGGGATGACGACTGCGCGGCATGTAGCTGGCTTCGGCGCCACCCAGCGCCGGGAGGCGCCAGGAGGGCCAGCTGCGCGATGGGACTCGCCAAACCCCCCTCTGCTATCTTCCCCCCCCCCTCTCTGTTCCGACCCGAAAGGGCGGAGCGGGAGGGGAGAGCCGAAGAGGAGGCAATTTACAGTCGAGGCGGGCGCTGAAGAAGGAACCCTTTTCGTTGGGGACGGGCTTGGTGCTCCTTGGTCGCTTTACAGTTTGCATTCGGTTGTCCTTAGGTTTTCCATGGGAAATCGATGTTTAATTTCTGGGAAACAGGGGCCTCGTTCCTGATTCAGGGTTCCTCAGGTCGACGCACCGACTGTACAGTCGAGGTTGAGGAGTAAATCGACCCTGCCAATCAAGGGTACCTTGGTGTCCTGTGTGCTCCCGATCCATGCCTCCTACATTCCTGAGGCAATGTGGCCCTCGGAAGGGTCTTGTGTCTCCTAGGGTGTCCTGCCCAATTCACCCCGACCGTACATGGACATACATTTTGGGGGAGGTCCGCGCGGTTTTCTCGGACCATCGTTAGCCCCCACCCCCTGGCGGCGCAGCTGGCGCCGCCCCTGGCACGCTCCGCACGCCAGGGAGGGGGCTTGGCGCCTTTCCTGGAAATCATCGCGGACCTCCGAAAGTTAATGCTTGTGCCATTGGTTCTTCTCCTGGGAAGGAGAGGAGGGAAGACGTGGCAGCAGTGAGGCATAAGAGAGACAAGCGAACGGCAGTGCGAGGAAACAGCTCGCCAGCACTGCAGGTTCCGAGCGTGTCTGGCCCTCTGGTTTTTGGAAACCTGGAAGGGCACCTCGGAGGAGGGAGGTAGGACGGCTGGAGGGGGAGTTATAAGGGAGGAAAACGGAGAGAGAAGGGACGACTGACCACACAGGAAGGAGGTTAAGGAGGAGCAGAAGGAGAAGTCAGATGTACAGATATATATATATATATATAGAGAGAGAGAGACATATTCTGGCGGAGGTATCCATGGTTTGTTCTCTGCCTCCGTCCGCTTCTTGCCCAGATTTAGGGAATCCAGACATTGCGATGGAGAGGATGCGAGGAGGCGGACAAGAGGAGACTGGGGAGGACCAGCAACAGAAGGACGAGCATCAGGAGGAGCATGCGAAGGACCGTGACAAGGATGAGTAGGAGGAGGAGAAGTGCAAGGGAGGTGAGGATGAGCGCGAGCAGGATGATCGAGAGCACCGCGCTGTTAGCGCGCGCTGCCGCAGGGCGTTCTCGACGAGGGCTCCGCTGACTTTTTGAAGAAGGCCCCCGAGGTGTGCCGACCGTGAGTGTACGTCGCGTCTCGGGGCCCCCGTCCGCGGCGGGGGGTCTGCCGGGCGGGACCCAGATCGCACGATTCAGCGGCGGGGGTTTATCCAGGCGGCCTCATAAATTGCCAGGACGTGCCACGTCAGAGCGCGATGCCTGACCAAAGTGTGAGGAAGTCCAGCTCCAAGACGCGATTTGGAATACGTTGTGTGGAAGGTCCAGGTGGGAACCGTTGTTGTCGTAATGCGGGGGCCAACAATATGCATTCTGCGAGGCCCAAGGTTTTCCCTTCAAAAAGCCGGGTGCGAGCCCCAGAAGCGGCACTTCACATGAAACAATTCAGGTTGCGTTGGAGGGAGGGGGATCAACAATAACAAGTGCTTCGAAAAGCCAGACTTGACATTATCATGAGCAGAGTGCGCATCGGCATCCCATAGGCTTGGCGTGCGACCTCGGTTCGGGGAACACGCAATGACAGAAACATAGAAACCCGAAAGTCCGCGCGGATTCCTCGGATCGGCGCTGGGCCTCCCTCCTTGACGCGCGAAGCGCGCCATGAGAACTCGTTCGGGAAGAAGGTGCGAAGACTAGATGAGCAACAGTGCACATCCCCCTCATTGCAGCCAGAAGTGCAGATCCCACAACTTCTGTGGTTAGGCATGGAAGGCGTCTGCCCGCTGAGTTCAGCCGGAATCGCATTTGTCTTACACTTCTTCGATTGGCAGGAAAGCCCATGTTGTATGATTGCGAGTATTTCAGGATCAAGGTCAGAGCTCCAAGGCCAAAGGTCACCAGGGACCTGGCTAAAATAATGCACCACTAATTGGCTAGACTGGCTGGAAATGAAATACATGTCAGTGGAGAGCAAACCGCATTCTTCATACCAACTGAATATGACATATCTAATCGCTTCGCGCATTCCGCCGGTCCGTATTGGTGCACGTCTATCGAGTGCCCGTGTGATAGTTGTCAATGGGGTGTTGCTGGGTCGTTTTTTTGTTTATGGATGGCTGGTTTGGGGTGATTTCGCAGGCGGGAACCATTCTTTGCCCGCCTGAACCTTCTGTTCCGGAAGGTGGCGGCTCGTGAATCTGATCGCAGGGAACAAGACAACATTCTGCAGTTTCCTTTTTGCATTATTTGGGCCCCTTGTCGCTGGTTGGGGGCTCTTAGGAGCCTCTTGGAGACTCCAAGAGGCCTTTTAGAGCGGAAGGCTCGGATTCTCGGTTCGTGGTCTCCATCTTGGGCCTCTCTTGAGGCCATCTTGGGGTCCTTTTGGACCGTCTTGGGCGCCTCTTGGGCTGTCGTGGGGCTCTCTTGGACGGTCGTGGGCCTCTCTTGGAGGCCTCTTGGGCCGTCTTGGGGTGGTCTTGGAAGCTTCTTGGGCCGTCTTGGAGCGTCGGAAAGGCGAAAAGGCGAGGAAGCCAACAACCTTGAAAAACCCAATGGAAATCAATGGTTTTGGCGCTTTGAGGCTTCGTGAACGTTCATTGGGATCTCGTTGGATGCCTCTCGAGGGCTTCTTGGAGACTCTCGAGAGTCGTTGTCGAGCCTCTTGGGGTCTCTCTCGGGCCCCTTGTCGCCTTTTGGGGCCTCTTGGGGGCCTCTTGGAGCCTCCAGGAGGCCTCTTGGAGCGGAAGGCTCGGGTTCTCGGTTCGTGGTCTCCATGTTGGGCCCCTCTTGGGGCCTCTCGGGGTCGTTTTGGACCGTCTTGGGCGCCTCTTGGGCTGTCGTGGGGCCCTCTTGGGCGGTCGTGGGGCTTTCTTGGAGGCCTCTTGGGCGGTCTTGGGGTGGTTTTGGCGGCTTCTTGGGCCGTCTTGGAGCGTCGGAAAGGCGAAAAGGCGAGGAAGCCAAAAACCTTGAAAAACCCAAGGGGAATCAATGATTTTGGCCTCTTGGGGCTCTCTTGGAAAGGGTAGGGGCTCTCTTGGGACGTCTTGGAAGCGTCTTGGGCCGTCTTGAGGCCGTGTTGGGCGTCTTGGGCCGATCGTTCGGTGATTCGGAACCCTCTTGGACCGTCTTGGAAGCCTGTTGGGGCCCTCTTGGCGCGCTCCGGGGAGCGTGGAAGGCCGCACCCAGGAGGAAAACCATCTCTGACCCGGGTCTGCCGGGAGTGTCCCGGGACCTTGCCGGGGTACTTTTCGGCCGGGGACCCCAGGGGCCGCTCCGCGCGCGCGAAGTATAGAGTTATTGTTAACAAGACAGTCCAAGAGGCCGCCGAGAAGGGCCCCCAAGGGCAAAAGTCAAGAATTTCATTTGGAAAAGCGTATATGTTCTGGATATTTGCTTTTTCAGTCCTGACAGCGGCCACGACGGCCCCAAAGGCTCCCAAAATCAGCCCCAGGGCCCCAAGACAGCCCGAAGAGAGCTTCCAGCAGACAGCCCCAAGATGGCCCCAGGAGAGTCCCCAGGGGGCCTCCGTACATGGTCGGAGAGGGCCCCATGAGGGCCCCAAGACGGGCTCAGCCCCCCATGACCGGCCAAGAGGGAGCCGGGACAGCCGAAATGGGCCCCCAGGCGGGCCAAAGAGACGCAGAAGGACTCCCTCAAGACGGTCCAAGAGGCCGCCGAGAAGGCCCCCGAGGGCCAAAATCAAGCGTTTCCGATGGACGAATGCATATTTCTAGGATGTTCGCCTTTTCAATCCTAGCAGCGGCCGCGACGGCCCCAAATCGGCCACAGACGGCCCGAGAGGGCCCCAAGATAACTTGAAGAGAGTTTGGTGCAGCACACGAGCTCCAAGATGGCCTAAGAGAGCCCCAGGGGCCACCAGAGGATCCCTACATGGTCGGAGAGGGCCCCAAGAGGGCCCCAAGGCAGGCTCGGCTCCACATGACGTCCCAAGAGGGACCCGGGACGGCGCCGAAATAGGCGCCCAGACGGGCCAAAAAGACGCAGAAGGACTCCCTCAAGACTGTCCAAGAGGCCGCCGAGAAGGCCCCCGAGGGCCAAAATCAAGCATTTCCGATGGACAGATGCATATTTCTGGGATGTTCGCCTTTCCAGTCCTAACAGCGGCCACGACTGCCCCAAGGGCCCCCCAAATCAGCCCCAGACGGCCCAAGAGGCCCCCAAGAGGGCCCCGAGACAACCTGAAGAGATTTTGAAGCAGCACAAGAGCTCCAAGACGGCCTAAGAGAGCCCCCAGGGGCCACCAGAGGATCCCTACATGGTCGGAGAGGGCCCCAAGAGGGCCCCAAGACAGGCTCAGCTCCCATGACGGGCCAAGAGGGACCCGGGACGGCCGAAATTTGGCCCCCAGACGGGCCAAAAAAGACGCAGAAGGACTCCCTCAATACTGTCCAAGAGGCCGCCGAGAAGGCCCCCGAGGGCCAAAATCAAGCATTTCCGATGGACAGATGCATATTTCTAGGATGTTCGCCTTTTCAATCCTAACAGCGGCCACGACGGCCCCAACGGCCCCCCAAATCGGCCCCAGACGGCCCAAGAGGCCCCCAAGAGAGCCCCAAGACGACCTGAAGAGAGTTTCAAACCTCGGCGGCCTCTTGGACCGTCTTGAGGGAGTCCTTCTGCGTCTTCTTTGGCCCGTCTGGGGGCCCATTCGGCCGTCCTGGGTCCCTCTTGGCCCGTCATGGGGAGCCGAGCCTGTCTTGGGGCCCTCATGGGGCCCTCTCCGACCATGGAGGGATCCTCCAGTGGCCCCCTCGGGCCCTTTGGGGACTCCCTTAGGCCGTCTTGGAGCTCTCTTGCACGATCTGCTTAATCTAGTCAGTTGCTTGGGTGTGGCCAGTTTGCGGCTGTTGCCCAGCTGGTCGGCACCCGTGAGCGTCTCGCGTTGGGTGGGCGGGCCGAGGTTTCGCTTGGTGCCCGCACGTGCCCGCCCGTGGGCGCCTCGTGCGCGCCTCGTGCGCTGGGCGGGTGTGCCGCAGTGTCCCGTGGTGCCCGCGCGTGGTCACCTCGTGGGCGGTGGCCGTGCCGAGGTGTCGCTCGGCGCCCGCCCCTGGGCGCGTCGTGTGTGCCTCGTGTCCCCCGGTGGGTGTGCGGAGGTTTGGCCGCGTGCGCCTCGTGCGGTGGGCGGGTGTGTGCTGAGGTGTCGCCCGGCGCCCGCGCGTGGGCGCCTCGCGGGCGCCCCGTTCTGGGGCGTCACGGGGGGGGGGGGGCGACTTCATCGGGCACGTCCTGCCGGGAGGTGTTGGCGATGTCTGAAACTACAGAGGTCCCGCCAGACGGGTACGATGCATGCTCGAAGACGCCCATGGCGAATCACCGCCGCCCACTGCCCTTCTGAAAGGACCTCTGTGGACGAAAGTTGGGCTAGAGCTGTCGAACCACGTGCTCCCGCAGCTGACGTCGAAGCTTTTCGGGGAATACGTGAGGAAGGGGAGAATGAGGAGAAAGGGGGAAAGGGAGTAGGAGGAGGAGGAGGAGGAGGAGGAGGAGGAGGAGGACGCCTCTTGGAACCCTCTTGGGTCACTCTTGGGGTCTCCTGGGAGCCTCCTTGGGGCCTCTTGGAGGCCTCTTCAGGGCTTCCTTGGGCCTCTTGGGAGCCTTGGGGGACTTGTTCGGGGCCGCCTCGGCCGTCTTGGATGCATCTCTGAACCGACTTGGGGCCCTCCTGGGGCGCTTCAAGGCCGTCTTGGGGGCCATCTTCGGGGCCTCTTCGAGGCCTCTTGGGCTGTCTTGGGGCCCTCTGAGCTGTCTTGGGAGCCTCTTGGGCCGCCACGGGGCCATCTTGGAGGCCGTTAGGGCCATGTTGGGGCGATCTTAAGGGCGTCTTGGGCCGTCGGAAGGCCGAAAAGAAGCACGTGCCACAACCTTTCAAACACCGAAGGACGACGAATGAGTTTGGCCTCTTCGGGCCCTCTTGGAGTACCTCTTCGAGGCTTTTGTGGCCATTTGAGAGAGCTCTTGGAGGCCTCTGGGGCTGCCTTGGGCCGTCTTGCAAGCTTCTTGGGCGAACTTGGAGCAACCTTGGACTTGCTGGGGCCGTCTCGTAGGCCATCTTAGACCATCTTCGGCGAACTTGAGGGCCATCTTGGCCGTCTTTTGAACCATCTTGGAGCCACCTGGACTAGGACACACCTTCGCAACCGTGTCGAACGCAGCCTTTCGGGTGGCCGGCGGCATCGGCCCAAGCCCCAGGGAGGGTTCGTTTGGCAGAGGACCAAAACCAAGCCGTAAGACGTTCAGCACGCTGGGCACCCCTGTGGCCAGCCAACAGGGGGCGGCGGATCGAATGGCTTTCGGCCCATCCCGCCACCGTGCCTGGGTTCTGGGTCTGAAGCCTCTTGGATGTTCGTTGGGATCTCGTCGTGGCCTCTCTGGACCCTGGAGGCACTTTGGAGGCCTCTTGGGGGCTGGTCTGGGGGACCCCTTTTGGGCCTCTTCGGGGACACTTGGGGGCCTCTTGGGGCCTCCTGCGGGCCTCTTGCGGCGGAGGGCTCGGATTTTCGGTTCGTGTCCCCCCTCTTGAGCCCATCTTGGAGCCCTCCTGGGGCCGTCTTGGGACCCTCTTGGGGCCGCCTTGGGTCTCCCTTGGCGGCCTCCCAGGCCCTCGTCGGGCGGGTTGGGTTGTTTTTGTCTGGGTGCGTCCTGGAGCGTCGGAGGCTCGAAAAGCGGAGAACCCCAAACAGAACACCCGCGGAAACTATGTGGTTTGAGCATCTCGGGGGGGGGGTCCTCTTGGGAAGGGTGTTAGGGGCTATCGTGGGGCGTCTCAAAGGTTTGTTGGGCCATCTTGGAGCCACTTTTTGCGTCTTGGCGCTCTCGGACCGTCTAGGTGAGTGCTCGGGGGTCTCTTGGCCCGTCTTGGGCCCCTCTTGGCCCTCAGGAGTCCTGCGACAGCATGCGGAGAAGCCCACAGGGCACCCCGGGAGCCCCGGAAGACTTTACAATTTCGGTCCGGGGCCCCTGAACGAATCTTCAGGACCGAGGACCGAGGCTCGAGGGGATCGAGGAGGGGGCCCAGGGGGCCCAGGGGGCACTCCATCCCGTGCCACGGGGGCACGGTGGCGGATTGCACGCCCCAGCGTGCTGAAGGCACGGCGGCGGACATGCGTACAGTATGGGGGCATCACGGGGAATCACGCAAAGGCGCTGCGATTTCTGGGCTTCGCCACGTGCCTATGCCACAGCGCCTGCCTTCGCTGTGGCGCGTCTGGCTGCTGCTGAATGGGATTGGTCGACCCTTCCTAACCAACGTCATATCCTCGTCCTGTCCCTGCTCTTCGTGTCCATGCCCCTGCTCCTGCTTCTCTGTCTCATCGTCCTCAGCCTCGTCGATCTGATCCTCTTCGTCCTGTCGGCTCCTCATCCGCCTCCTGCTGCTCTTTCCTCGCCTGTCGCGGTGCCTTTCAAGGGAGGAGGGTTGGCAGATTCTTGGCAGAGGACTCCACCCCACGAGGGTCGGGCCACAGTCGGCCAGCTTATTGTTTGCCCCGGTCCCGGTGGGGTCTTGCGTCGCTGCTGCCTCAGACGTCTCCCGCCCTCAGCTGCTTGGCCCGCCTGCTCCCTGCTCGAGGTCCCCCGCAGGCGCGCGAAGGCACTCGCGCTTCGCGCGTCGCGGTCTGCTCTGGAGGGCTGCCCCGCTCAAGGGGGTGCGGGGTGAGGCCGCGAGGGCGCGAGGATGATCGCGCCTCGCGGGGCGCGGTGTGCGGCGTCGGGTGGCACAGCTGCCGTCCCTGCCGATCCTCTCTCGTGCCCCGTCCTGCCCGTGGCCGAGCGCACCCGCTCGAGAGGTGCACGCGAAGTCCGTCATCGCCTCGCTCGGCCCTGAGGCCCTTCTGGGCTGTTGGGGGGACGCCGGGGCTCTGGGCCGCAGAAGGGAGGGGGGGAAGAGGAAGAGGGAGGAGGTGCCAAGGGGAGGAAGAGGGAGGGGAGGAAGAGGAAGGGGAAGAGGAAGAGGAAGAGGGATAGGGAAGGGAGGAAGAGGAAGAGGAAGTGGGGAGGAAGAAGGAGGGGAGGAAGAGGGAGGAAGCGTCCTGGCATACCTGTGCGCCCTCCAGGTTATGTCATGAGACCCGGCTGTGGTCTGTGTGCAACGGGGCTCGAGCACTTCTGGTTGAGACAGCCGTGCTTGATGACGTATGCGTGACGCTCCAACAACATGTTTGGCCATTATGGCACACGTTTGTTCTAGGATCATTCCGTGGCCCGCATTTCTTTGTCGGCATGTCCTGGGTCTGTGTATGTTCGATTATGTTTGGGGTAGTTTTGAGTTTTCGTCCAAAATTCGCCTGTAGGGGGACATGATTTGATGCTAGAAACGTGCCCCTGACCCAAGGTGCCCCCAGCTTGTCGCTCCAGGTTGGAGCACCTGGGTCGATGATCCTCAGGGCCTGTGTTAGAGGGTATGTTTTTTCCTCTCTGGGCCATAATGCGCGTTATGCCCCCTCTCCTCCCCCCCTCCCTTTCCCCCCCCCCTCCCCCCCCATTACGTAACGCCCCCCTCCTCTCAGTGCGTCCCCGGCACTGCCGCGTCGCGTCCAGTGCCATAGTTTTGGGGAGGGCACGCTACGTTATGCCCCCTCCCGTCCCCCCACCCCCTCCGCGCCTGTAACGCCCGTATGGCCGCGAGGAAAAAATGCCCTCATGGACCAAGTGTGTGTGTGTGTGTGTGTGTGTTTGTGTGTGTGTGTGTATGTGTGTGTGTGTGTGTTGCCCCGTTCGGTTCCGCCGATCGCGCGCAGCCCGTGTCGGCCCTCGTTGCGCCGCCTGCGTCGTATTGAAGGGCCTCGGTGGACATCCGCCGATCGCGCGCGGCCCGTGTCGGCCCTCGTTGCGCCGCCTGCGTCGTATTGAAGGGCCTCGGGCCCTCGTGAGGGGTGCTGCGGAGGCTGGGGGGAGCTGGCAACGCCCGGCTCCGAGGGGAGGAGGAGGGCGAAGTCGGAGGGTCTTCGCATATTCGTCGCGGAAGTGTGGCGTCCTCGAGGGTTTGATGGTGTTTCGCCAAGCGACTTGTAGGGATCAAGCCGGACAGATGAAGGGAAGTGCCGATGAATCGAGGTAGATCCAGCGAAATCCAGGTAAATCCAACACATGTTCAAGGACATTTGGAGCAAATCGTTGCCGCTCCAGCGCGAGTCGAGGGACTGCAGAAGTCGTCAAGCCCTTCTGTTTGGGGGCTCGTTCCTTGAGGCACTCGTCGCCACGGCGGGGTCCTGGGCACAACGAAGAACCACAACCGCAGCCAAGTGGATTTTTCGGGAGGGCCCCTCGGGGGTGTGGACCCACCGACCTCGACTTGAGGAGCACTCGGGTTGTGGCCGTGGTCGGTTCGGCCGTCCTGGGACGCCACGTCGACCATAACCAGTACGAAATTGGTTTCGGTGTTCGGCTGATCAGGCCACTTGGGTATGTCCGCGCAGGCACAGTGCTAGGTGATACGAACCTGGGGCAGTTTCGTATCAGCTCTCCCCCCCTCCCTCTCCTCCCTCTTCTGCTCCTCTTCCCCTCTGTGTGCTGAGGTTTCTCCTAGCTGAGCTTTCTCCTAGATCGTGGCATTTCTGTGTGCTGAGCTTTCTCCTAGATCGTCGCGCTGAGGTAAAAAGAATGAATGTTGGCATGCGCAACACGTTCCCCAGGGTCTGTCGTCGATGTGGTTGTGGTCGCTCGTTGTCTCCGCAGTTTTTTTTTTGGGGGGGGCGGGCGTTTCTCGAGCCGCTTCTCGCTACGGCGGGCGCGGGGCCAGAAGCGAGCCCAGGCAGGAGGGGTCGCGGCATCCTCTCCGAACGGATTCGGAGGAAGAGGATCGGGGGCGGCGAGGAGGGGCGCGATAACTAGGGGGGGGCTGATATCACGACGGGGGCCATGATATCTCCCCAGATGTCATGGCGCCTCTCCTTGTCTCAATGCCTTCCCGGCCCCCCCCCTGGGCCGCGCACATGCCGCCGGCTATGATTTGCGCCCTCCCCTCTTGGACGCCCCCCTCTTGGCCGCGCCCGGAGAGGAGGAACGGGGTCCACTTTAATCCAATCGATCTGATTGGATGTCGGTTTTCCAGCGGCTCGATGCGGCCCGATGCTTGCATGTCGCTGTTGTGCATCCTGACGTAGCTGCTCCGATTCGATGTCGATTCCGTGCCGATGCAGCCCAAATGTTTCGATTCGGTGTTCCATGATCTTTGGGGTGGATCGAAATTGTTTCGAGACCTGGCTCGTGGGCATCTCCCTGGAGGTTGTTTGGGGATCCTCCAGGGGCCCTGCGGAGACCTAGACCTCCAGAGACACTGGGAGACCCCTAGACACCTGTGGGGAGAGGAGGGGCAGGAGGAGATGGAGGAAGAAGGGTACTTAGGAGGACGGTGAGGAGGAGGGGAGAGGAGGGGCAGGAGGAGGAGAGAGGAGGGGGGGAGGGGGAGAGGAGAACACCTGAGGAGGAGGAGGAGGAGGAGGAGGAGGAGGAGGAGGAGGAGGAGGAGGAGGAGGAGGAGGGGAGGAGGAGGAGGAGGAGGAGGAGGAGGAGGAGGAGGAGGAGGAGGAGGGTGAGGAGGAGGAGGAGGAGGAGGAGGAGGAGGGTGAGGAGGAGGAGGAGGAGGAGGAGGAGGAGGAGGAGGCGAGAGGAGGAGGAGGAGGAGGAGGCGAGAGCAGGGGGAGGGTTAGGAGGAGGAGGAGGAGGAGGATGACACTTGTGGGGAGAGGAGGGGGATGTCAAAGAGAGAGCGTAGCCCGAACAAGCAATCAAGCCCCCAAGGGTTATCACTCACACTACTATTATTTAAAGAAATCGGTATTTTGTGTTGGGGGGGCTAGCGCAGCTGGATGATTAGCACCGACGGGGTACATGTCTTGTATTGAGATATTGGTGTGATCATCTTGGAACCTTACTAGGGTCCGATCGGGATCTTGAGGACAACCCACGGAACCCGAATTGCAACACCATAAGACTAGTCCTGAAGAACCAGAAGAAAGCCCGCGACCATTCCAAGAGTTCCAATTGGAAGTCCTACGCAAGGGATTTTGAGGGATCCTGCGGGATCCGTAGGCGTCCGAAGGACATCCTCGTTTCCTGCGGGCTCGTAAGGACACCTGGGGATTGCCAAGGAATAGACGGGCATAATCCCCCTCTCCGTACTAGACTTGCATCGCATACCCGATGAGGGAATCCGATTGTAATCCGAGTGGGGCTCTACTAGAATTCTCCGGGCAATCTATTGCAGTGCCATTGAGATCTTAGCTAATTGGATCCTATGTGATCCCAGGAGATTTAGATCGGAATCCGATGGAGTCATAATTCAAATCCCATGGGGGTCTTACAGGAATCCGATTGGAGTCGGATTGGCATCCCTTTGAATGAGTATCGGCATTTGATTAGAAATGTATTGGAACCCTGTGGAGATCCCATTCGACTCTTGGACTCTTTCGAATCCCAGAGGAGTCTGGCAAGTGCCTTACGTGGTCTCTAACCGCAGGATGGGGGTCCTTGAAAAGAGCCATGTCGATCCTATTGTGCCCCCTCTTCCCCCCCACCCCGTAAGCAGAATGAGTTATGGCGAAATTTGCGAGAACACCGAGTTCGTTAGAACATCATAGGTCGCGGACGGGTTTTGTTGAGCTCATCGAGTGGTTTGTGTGTGTGTGCGTTTCATGATGTGTGTTCGCTTCCTAAACTTGTTGTAGTGTTTATCCGTGACCGCTCATCAGCATGTCTGTTTGGCGCATCGCTTCCTCCTCCGCGTGTATCGCGTTGTCACTCTCTCTCTCTCTCTCTTTCTTCTCTATCTCTATGTATCGTTTGTGTTTTTTTAGACCCACGGCTAGGGGACAGTAGCAGTGCGAAGACGGGGGCGGTGCGTGCATATGGTGATGGTCGCCTTACACTGTCCTCTGCAGCTATACGGCCCCCGTCATCTGTCAGGTCAAGACAGCACGAAGTCGTGCTCGATTGACTAGCTTGACCGTTCGGTCGACAAGTCCTAAGAAAAGGTGTGATGTCGAGATTGAGCATCACGCGTTTCTTTACGGTTGCCGGTTGTCGTATTGAAATCGCAGGTTTTGCGATGGCCTCGCGCTCCCCAAGGTGGTCTCTTCAAAACGCGCCCGCGCGCTCCTCCCCTCCCTCCTGGCCCCAGGATTGACATTGTGTTTTGTCTCAAGGTAGAGGATGACCTCGCGCAGACAACGCAGCTTGTGAGTAGAGGTATGGTCAGGATTTGGAGCAGGCTTATGTGCAGGATTTCGTTCAGGCTGGAAGCTAGAGGTGCATTGTTAGGGTTGGGGTTAGGGTTGGGCTAGGTGCTCGGTGCAGGTTGTGGTGCAGAGACGCACCATGGTTGGCGTTTTCCCCGAGACACGAGCCCGCTCTTCTCGGGGGTGGGGCGGCGGGCATGCGATGTTATCTGCGTCCCGCCCACGAAGCGGACGGCGAGGAGAAGGATGAGGAGCTGGCTGGAGGTGCTCGAGGCGTGCACCACGTCGCTCGGTCAGCTCAGGGGCCTGGGATTTCGGAGAAGAAACTCGGCGCGCAGACGCGCTAGCGCCCCACAGGTTGGGAAGCTGGGGCGCCACTGCGCCGAGCTCGTCGGCCGAACGCGCGACCTGGCGATCACCGCCCACCAAACCGCCCCGACCCCGCCCGAAGGCCCCGATTTGCCCTCCATTTCCAGCGCGGGGCGGCCGGGGAACATTGAAAGACGCATGCGAAGCCCGTGCCCCCCCCCGAAAACCCAGCATTCGGGTCTTCGGGTTTGGCTGGGGTGGTCTGGTAGGTAGTCAGGCGTATACTTCGAGATCCTCCCAGCTCGGGGAGTGTCCCGCCCGCCGGCGCCCGCGGGGCGGCCCCGTGCAGGTGAGAAACCCGTCGGCTTTCGTGACGAGGAAGCTCAAGGCGCTGCGCGCTCAGGCCCGCCGCCCGCCGCCGCGCGGCGCCCGGGGGCCCGGTGGGCTACGTGCTGCCAGGTGCGGGAGCGATGCGGGCGTTGCAGAACAAAGAACAAGACCCCCTGTCGTAGCGGAAAAATCACGACGGGAGGTTTTTCCTCCAGGGGCCCTTACCGGACGGACCTCGGGACCGTCAAAAAACGATTCGGGATGAAAAGCCGGTCCCGTGGAAGGGGTCCAGGATTCTTGGGGTCGTCGTTGTGAAAAATCATGACGTCGGAGGTCCAGGAACGATGACCTTCAGGACGTGCGTTAGCCCAATCGGCGCGTTGCCCCGTTCAGTTCCGACGCTGGCGCGCAGCCTGCGCCAGCCCTCATCTACATCACGTGCGTCGTACCAACGGGCGTCTGTGGACCAGCACACGTTGGGGCTGGCACGCGCCCTGAGGATCATCGAAAGGACGGGAGGAAGAATTGTTGTTGTTTTTGTTCGGCGCGATCGAAATGAGTACGGACAGGAATTGGACGAGGATGGACAGTACGTCCTGTCCGTTTTGGGATCGTTGTCGGTGCCGCGGTGGGCGTTGACCATTTGAGACAGAAAGTCGCCAGCCCAACAGCGGCCGGTGTCGGTTTTGGCGAACATTTGTTGTTGAGCATTGTTGTTGCTTTTTCATTAATATTAATTTCGGGCGCGACGGAGAGAGGATGTGTCCGATTTATCGGAACCGTCACGTCCGTGTGTTCGGGGTTCGCCGCCCCTCCCCCCATTGACGAGCGCATTCTGGATTTTGACGGTCCGGTCTTCGTGGGATGTGTGCAGCGGGAGCCCGCGTCAAATTTCAGGTTGGGTCTCGTTATTATCATGATGGCCCCGTCAGGCCAGCCCGTGTCCCCCATACCCGAGTCATACGTCGTCCCGACAGTAACGATCGCACCGGGTGGAGTCCGCCCCTCCACCCGTCGCGCTCACAGGCGCCACCGTGCTGGTCGCGTGCACCTTGCGGTGACCACGGGCATGCTGTGGCGTTCGCGGGCACTTGCAGTGCTCAAAGGTGCATGGCATGTGGTGGCGCTCGCACCCCTCGGTGCTCACGGGCACGCTGTCGCGATTGCAACCACCGTAGCGTTCGCAGGCTCACTGCCCGTCCTCGCAAACATATTGCGGCGATCGCAGGGTATTGTTCTAGGCCTCGTAGCCGATTCGCTTCGCGTCGACGTCGCCGATGTGTCGCCGACGTCGCCGTTGCATCGCCTTCGCATCGCCGATGCATCGCCGATGTATCGGCGATGCGGCGCGGTCCTCCGACCCCATCTATTCTGGCCCCGTCTAGGAGGCCTCTATTTGTGGTACTGGCAAGGTGCGGCATGCTGTCTCGTCATCCGCCCCGGGCTTGATCTCTGAAAAAGAAGGCGCAGCTCCATCTGTTGTCCTCCCTCGTGCCTCCCTCCCTTCCTTTCTCGTCGCCCGTTGAGAAACTGACAGTTTATGTCATCCGAGCTGACACTCAAGTTGTCGCTCATGCAAATGGCGGTCGCATTATTTTTCGGTATTGGCACTGATCGGTTTCGCGCGCCGTCTGGCGGTCGCCAGCACACCGTGGTGCTCACAGGCACGCCGCGGCGCGTGAAGGACATGCCCGCGCTCACAAAGGGCAGAGATGAGAAGGAGAAGGAGAAGGGAAGAGAGACAAGCCGAAGCAGAAACAATAGCACAAGCATACAGTGTCGGAGGCCTGTGCGGATTTGCTGGGTCTGCGCTGAAACACCCTTGGCTGCGCCTCCAGCGCCACCCTTGTTGCGCTCCCCGCGCCAGAGGGGGGTGTCCAGCGCAGATCCAAGAAATATCAAGAAATCCGCGCGGCCTTCGGATGCTTATGTTATGCCATTGTGACGTCTTCCAACCAGGGAGTTCACCACAGGGTGTGTAGACAATCTGCTGGTGTGTGTGATGTGCACATGCACGTGGCGCTCACAGGCACGTCGCGGTGTTCGCAAGCTTTTGCGGCACGTGCTAGCATATTGTGGTGCTCGTTGGCGGCTTTGCTACCAGGAAGGGCCATCATATTGCTGTGCATACATGTGTTGCTGCTGCTGCTGTTCGCAGACGCACCGTTGTGTTCGTAGGCAAGTTGTTGTACTCGCAGGCTGTCGTTGAGTTCACTGGCGTAGTTTGGAGCCCACCCAGAATTGCGTTTCGTATATGGATATTGTTGTTGGTGGTGTTGATGATGTGGTTGTTGTGGTAGCTGTTTTTTTGTGTTGGTATTGCCGTCGTCGTCGTTCTTAGTGTTGTTGTGGTTGTTGTTGTTGAACATTATTACTTCTAAAGAATAATTATTGTTGGGACCCCTGGTGCACGACCCCCCCGCCGCGCCTAGGCCGCAGCCACGTTTTCATCATTTTCGTGAGGAAGTCTCAGGCAAAACGGGTTGGTCCGGATCCGGTTGTGTTGTTACGATCGGTTTTCCCTTGCAAAAAATAAGCTAAAGTGGACATTTCTTGTTCTAACATAACCAAACTTCAAGAATCCCTTGCAAAAAATAAGGTAAAGTGGACATTCGCGCGCGCAAGACGAAATCCTTCCAAAACCTTAGTTTTCGTAGCGATTTTAACATAAAAACATCAAAAAACCAATGGTTTTTCAAAAAAAATGTCAAAATTTCATCCCGCGCGCTCTTGCGGATTCGTAGGAAACCCAACACTTTTTAAACATTTCTGTCAAACGGGCTTTTGCGAGCAACTTTTTCGAACTTCTGCAACAACGGTTGCGCACCTGCCAGGGCCATCATCCCTGTCAAATAATACCATGCGGGACACATTCGTTTTTTCTTCGCGCGCGCACGCCGTCGTCGTCGGCCGCGGGGCCCTGAATAGTAGCCACGGTCGTCCGCATGCCACGAAGTGAAGTGTCCGAACGTCATAGGGCGGGAAGCTGGGTGTGGGTGGTGGCGAAGAGTCGTTTGGAAATTTGGTAGAGCTTGAACCGGCCCCCCCACAAAGTGGGGGTATTGCCCGCCTCCTATGAAAACCCTGGCACTGGTGAGAACGGAGTGTCCCCACGTGCTAGTAATTGTTGAACATTATTAATTCTAAAGAATAATTATTGTTGGGCCCCCTGGTGCGCGCCCCCCCCGCCGCGCCTAGGCCGCAGCCACATTTTCATCATTTTCGTGAGGAAGCCTCAGGTAACGATGTGATCAAGATCCGGTTGTTTTGTTGTAATCCGTTTTCCCTTGCAAAAAACACTATAAAATGACATTTCTTGTTCTAATATAATCAAATTTCAAGAATCCCTTGCAAAAAATAAGGTAAAGTGGACATTCGCGCGCGCAAGACGAAATCCTTCCAAAAGCTTAGTGTTCGGAGCGATTTTAACATAAAAACATCAAAAAACCAATGGTTTTTCAACAAAAAAATGTCAAAATCTCATCCCGCGCGCTCTTGCGGATTCGTAGGAAACCCAACACTTTTTAAACATTTCTGTCAAACGGGCTTTTGCGAGCAACTTTTTCGAACTTCTGCGACAACGGTTGCGCACCTGCCAGGGCCATCATCCCTGTCAAATAATACCATGCGGGACACATTCGTTTTTTTGCGCGCGCACGCCGAAATCTCCAAAAACCATTGGGTTTTTAAGAATTTTAGCACCGCGCATCATAAAATCATAAGGTGTTTGTGTATCCCCACATCCGCCCAGGAATTCCACAAATGTGACCAACTATCTTGCGAGTGCGTATCATCTCATGTGTGTCGTGCACACTATCAAATGTAACAGAGTTGTGTATTCCCATCATCCCAGGAACTTGACCCAAAAATGTGACCAACTCCGCTCTCTCTGTCTCTCTCTCTGTCTGCTCTCTGTCTCTCTCTCTGTCTCTCTGTATTATGTATTGTATGGCACAATTGCACCATGCTGGGCACATGCGCGCCCCGAATAAGTGACCAAGTTCTGTGGGTGTGTACCCCACGCCAGTGTAGTAGCCACGGTCGTCCGCACGCCACGAAGTGAAGTGTCCCAACGTCATAGGGCGGGAAGCTGGGTTTGGGTGGTCGCGAAGAGTCGTTTGGATATTTGGTAGAGCTTGTAATGCCCCCCCACGAAGTGGGGGTATTGCCTGGTGTCGTATGAAAACCCTGGCACTGGGGAGAACACCACGCGTTCGGGTAAAATGATTGTTGTTGTTGTTGTTGTTGTTGTTGGTATCGTTGTTATTGTTGTTGATGTTGTTGTTCGCAGGGGCACTGGCGTTTGCGCGCGCATTGTGGTGCCCGTGTGCCCGCGGACAGAGTCCAGCATATTTTTGTGGTTACGCGCTGTGCTGCCAGTCGGTGGCACACAGTGGTGCTGGCATGCACCTTTTGTCAAGGGCGGAAAAAAACGCCCCTACCCTGGTTTACGAGGCGCTGTGCGCTGAAACTCCATTTTGGATTATTTTTGTTGCCATTTTGGATTTGTTTGTTTTGTTTTGCTATTTTGTATGTTTTGTTGAAAATCAAGGGCATAACAAACGCCCCTACCCTGGTTTACGAGGCGCTGTGCGCTGAAACTCCTGTGGGCTGACAGGGCAACCCTTGCGTGATGTGCCGCGTCCCGGCGGCTCTAGGCTTTGGGGGTCCCCGGGAGGTTTACAGACCACGCGCTTGTAACCCAGGGTAGGGTAGTTTTTTCATCCCTCAATTTTGGTGACTGCAGGCTATCGTGTTGAACCAGTATTGTGGTTTCAGATTGTCGTGGTAGTCGCAAGGTCTGGCATGTTGTTGTGCCTGCGTGTGTTGCTTTTTAGGTCGGAAGCCCATCGTGGTGCTCGGAAGCACGTTGTGGAGTTTCTTGGTTATTACGATACCAGCCCGGTGTTTTGTCGCTCATGACGTGATGTTAGCAGGCGAATGTGCAACCGGCAGGGACCAATCTCCTTCACCGCCAGTTGGTTGAAAGCACGCTGACGTGGTCACGGACTTCTTGTAGTGCACATTGGCCTTACGGCTACACCCGCCGCATGCTCGCAAAATGCAGGGGAT